AGGGACTCTGGGCACTTGGGCCAGTCTAGAGTAAGCGCTCAACGAAAGTGAGAAATGAAATTGGCTCAGGGCTTGGTTTTCCTGGGATGAGAGTAACAAGATGTGCTTTTGGATGAGTTTGATAATTTCCAGAACATCTTCATACCCATTATCCTGATTGGTTTTACCTTTACATCAAGCTATGAGACAATAAAGGATTTTTATCCTGAAGCTATAGATGAAGAAACTAAGCTTTAGAGGTCATCTTACTTTCTCAAGGACATATAATTAGTACTGGGAGTGAGAAGTCAAACACACATTTGTGTTCATCCTGTGGGTATTTACTGAGCCCTACTATGTGCTAAGCTGGAACTAGGCTCTGGGATGCTGTAGTGGACAAGACAGATATGGCCGCTGCTTTCACAGAACTCAGACTAAATTGAAATCCAAGTCTCACCGTAATTCCTAGGAGAGACTAAGACATTTCTTTCCACTATAGGCAATTAGGGACCGATTGAAGATTCTTGAGCAAGTGTTTATGATCTGATTCATGCTCAGTGCTATTGGGCCCAGAGAAGAAACAGAAAAAGTATGGAGCTTTGGTCTAATTGCAAAGAAAACCCAACACTGGTGGTCCTGTGGCAGGGTGAAATAAGTAGTTGCAGGGTAAACTAAGTAAGCACCAGATGGCATGGTGTTAGCCTTAGATGTAGGTCTGCTTTCATTTTAATGTGGCTCAGTTCCCTTGACTGTAAAATGGGCACAATCATTTCACCTTCCTCATAAATTTGCTGTGGAGATGAAATGAGTGAATACATGCTGAGTAGAACAGTGCATGGCACTTATCTAGCACTAGTGAAGGGTCATCACCATCATCCTTGTCATCATCATCATCTCTCAGGGCTGGAATGGTCAGGGAGGCCTTGCCAGATGAAGGGAGGGCAGGTAGAAGTGGTGGGCTGAAGGTAGCAGGCAGGAAGGAGAAGAGGCTGACACATCTTTAAAAAGAGTGAAATTTTTAGCAAAAATGAGGTTTGTGTGATTTATGAACATGGATGTGCATGAGGGGTTCTGGCACTGAGGGTGGGACGTCTGGTCTTCCTGCCCATCTTCACCTTGGGGGACCCGTTCTGGAGTTCTGATGGATTGCCCTATGCCCTCCTGGGGATTCTAGAAGCCACAGGACTTGCTCAGAGCTCTCCTTATTTGAGCATTGGATTACTCCCTACCACCAAAATTCAGACTTCCTTGTCATTGATTAGAATGCAGAATCATCCAGTGTTTTATCGTTACTGTCGTCTTAAAGGTAAACTAAAGGAAAACTTGACGTAGGGTAAATCTGCTCTGAAATAGGCCCCAGATACAGGGGATGGCCCTCCTTATTTTGTTAAGGATATTTTAATAGAAACATTAGAGACTCACTCTTTGGGGGAAACATCTCTGCTCTTACAGCTAGCACTCAACTTTTCACTCCCAATAGACTCAAGAGCTAAGAAAGGTGACAGATATTTCATGCTTTAGATATGTAAGATAAACCAATTTTTTCACCAGTGCCCTGGACGAGCTGGTGCGCTGGCAACAGTTCAGCCATCTGCCACCAATGCCAGGGGCTTAATCAGAGCAGATGAATTCTATGCCAGATGCACCAAGATGTATGAACTCCCAGGAGAGACACAGGCCAATGCCTATATTTGTGAAATCATAACAGAGTTCCCTATTCCATCTCTATCTTGGGCCACCCCGAGAGACAAATGCTGTCTTCTTGATTTCTAGCTTTGTGCCCATGAACAGAGACAAATGTTTCACTTGAGAATCTGGCAGGTGAACAGAAGTTGGGATTTTTGCCTTGCCCTTGGAAGATGACTATATTCTTGATCTTGTTCACACAATGGATACTGCCCTTGTGGGCAGTGTGCATCTACTGGTACCAAGGTGGGAATTTTGCAGCTGGATTGGGAATGATGGGGAAGGGTCTTTTGTAGTTCTCAAATGCCACAGTGAATTGGAGTCACCTGGGAGTTTTTTGTTTGTTTGTTTGTTTGTTTGTTTTTTAATCTCTATGCCCAGATACATCCCAGACCAATTAAAACATAAATCTCTGGGGATGTAGGCCAGGTATCTGTGTTTCTAAGGATCCCCAGATGACTCCATTGTGCAGGCAAGTTTAAGAACCACTAGTCTAGATTCTACACCATCCTAGGGTGGGAGGAGGATTAGAGAGTCCTTGGCTGGGGCTGGCTGGCCCACTGGCTGGCCTACTTTGGGAGGTGATTCATCCAGTCTGTGGCTCAGATCTCGTCTGGCAGACTCAGTGTGGGCAACAGCCATCGCACACTGGGCACTGACTTTCCCCGGGTGTGAGATTCTTAGTGTTGGCCACACGCAGGGCTCCTGGCACTCACAGATGGAGCTCACCCTCCCCCAGACTTAGAATAGTGAGGTCAGGGCTGCTATCTTCTGTGTCTGCCTTGGAAGGCGGAGGTGCCTGGGGCCACTTGCGTCACAGGTTTGTGGTGGGAAAGGGAGAGAATAGATGGGTTTATCTGATGAAGAAAGGGGGAACAGGAAGTAGAAATCATAGACCAAGGCAGCTCTGACTCTCACTGTATTCCTAACCAGGCCTGGAAGACTGGCCTTGGAAAGCCACGGCGCAGCTGCCTTTTCTTACAGGGAACTGAGAAATCTTCTAGTCTCTTCTAGAATTTGCCTTCTATTACTTAACTCTCCTTTGAAGATGAGTATGAGAAAGTTCTTAACTCCTGAGGAGAAACAGCCTGAGTGTGTGTCTCAGAGATAAGACTACAATGGTAGCCAGATGGCTGATCCTTCTGACTGGAAGCTCCCGGAAGGAAGGCAGCCCGGCATGTCTGGTTCATGGAGGTGTGCACAGTGAAGGCGGTTACTCCAGGAGCTAAGACACATGAGAAGCTCCATTTTGAGAACCCCTAGATTAATGGATTGACAACGAATGAGAGCATGTGACGCTCACAAAGCATTTTTACTCACTTCAGGCAAACAGGAAACGGCCCTGCGATGGCTTCCTCTTGGGTGGCCAGCAGGTTCAGTTCCAGAGACCTGAGTGGGCACATGGGAGAGGGTGGGCCCTGCATCCTAGTGGCTGCTTCCCACTCCAGAGTTGGGAGTCCTTCCTTGTCATCTTCTTGGGTGACACAGTGAGCACAGAGTTCCAAGGCCTCTGGGACCCAACCCACTGATCAGAGTCAACTTGGATGAACATTTCATAGGTCAGATACTTTCCAGGCCTTGATTTAGCAGCTGCCCATCCCAGCCCTACAGTGTGGAGTGACCATTATAGGAACGTGGGTTGGAGACTGTCCTGGGGGGACCATGTGGTAAATTGTGAAGAACCTGATTTCCAGGTGGACTTGATTCTTGGCCATTAACTAGCAGTGGGGGATAGGCACATTTCTTAACTTCTCTGAGCCTCAGTTTTGTAATCTGTAAAGTAGGAATAATATAAGTAGAATGTAAGAGAAGGTATGTGAGTGTACCTAGCATGATGCTGTTACTGTCGGGAGCCCTGGAGGAGTGCAGAAGGAGTAGACGGCTGAGGAGAGGTGCTGTGACCAGAAGATGTTAGCTGACCTTGGCGGCTTCTCTTGGCAACTCTGGAGTCTGACATTTTATTTGCTCTGTGGTATTGGAAAGTGGGAGGAGGAAGTGATGGCACATTTCCCACAGACAGGCTTGGGGGAAGGTCAGGGGCAAGCTTTGCACTGAGTGGTGGTGTGACATCGGGGCAATTGTAAACTTCCCACCAAACCCAGACTCCCACAGGCAGGTGTCAGAATCATCCCTCTTTGGACCCCAGTTCCCTCATTCAAGATGAATCATGATCTTTTGACATCTAAGGTCAGGCAAATTCTGGGTGGCTTTTAACCAACCAGGTCCTGCACTCCCAGCCACACAGGGCAACGTGAAGACAAAACTGGGAAGTGAGTGACCATGATCTTGAGAGAAATTCAGAGAATTGACTGAGGGATGCAATAACTTAGACCCCAGAAACCACCCCTGAACTCCCTCTCTAATGTAAGGACATTGACCTCTACCTCCTAACTTCATTCATCCTTTCCCCTTCCTGGAGAGTATGGGGTGGGGTGGGGTGTGCAACAGGGGAATATATGGAGAAAGAGTCTTGATGTCAAAGGAGAAACATAACAGGCCAGACCTGGAATTTCTGGTCAGTTCTTCACATTCTTACTATCGGGCATTACGCAAGTTGGTAAAGGCCTCTCGGTCTCACCTGTAAAATGGGGGTAATAAACCATCTCGCAGAATTTGGGCTTGTGAGGAATTAAATAAGATAGTGTATGCTAAGTACTTGGCACAGAAGAGGTGCTCAGTAGATGTTGGTTATCCTTTTGCCCCTAGTTGAGATTATCTCCCCGATTATCATAGAGAGCTCCAGCCCCTGTCTCTACCAGTTCACTTATTTCCTTGACAAATACGTAGATTCTCTTCTTGCTGTGTGCCAGGAAAGCACTGTGGCCAGTATGTGAAGCCTGAACTTGTGTCCCTGTGCCCTCATCCTCTGGGCCTAGAATTTGGGTCATTCCCGTCAGCTTTTGCTGGCACCACTTGTACACACCTGTCTTTCCAGCTTTACTGCTGCTTCCTCAAGGAGACAGACCATGGCTGGCATTCCTTTGCATCTCCTTAGCATTTGCAGCTTCTCCATAGCAACCCTCTGTAAGCAAATGTGGCCCTGCTCCTTCATCAGTTCCTAGTCAGTCCCTGTTTGTCTCGCAACCAGCCTGAGGAGGAGGTACTGTTCCCATTTTACTTGTGAAGACACTGAGGCTTAGAGAGATTTGAGTTGCTCCCCTGCGCCCCCACCAGGTGGCTGGCCTCCTGTTCTCTCTCTGGGACCATGAATTCATTCCACAGTGAGGGGGCTGCTGCTCACCTCTTCTAGGCCTAAGAGGCCTTTGGGGGGTGTGGTCTTTCCGCTTCTTCTCTTGAGAACCACTGTACACCACCCCCACTTCTATCTGCTCCAGAATGTCTGTAAGTCGGTGGAAGAGACGCGCCGCCCACCCACGCTGCAGGAGATCAAGCAGAAGATCGACAGCTACAACAGCAGGGAGAAGAACTGCCTGGGCATGAAGCTGGTGAGCCGGGCCTGCCACGGCCCTCTACCTGCACCCCACACGCCTTCTACCTGCACCCCACACGCCCTCTACCTGCACCCACTCTCCCCCTGCCCCCATCCAGCTTGGCTCCCTGCTCCCTACAGGATGCTGTAGCTACTCCCTTGTAACTCCCTCCCCTTTCTTGGGACCTCTCTGGGCCTCCGGAAGCCTGGACCCTGGATGGCCGGTAGCCTGGGCTGCCAGTGGCTTCCATGAGCCAGGGAAACAACAGTCTTTAGAATAGGATCCAGATCCAATCCCTGTTGGCTTCTCTGTGCTTGTGGCTTTGGGAACTTTCTGAACCTCGGTGTTAAATAGACATTAATGCCTATGTGTCAGAAGTCTTGTGAAGGTTAAATGATAAGCAGTGACCAGAGGCCCATATTGCTTGGCCCCCAAGAAGCCCTTGACCAGGAGAGTTCACAGCTTCTCTTCTTACCCCTTAGACTGTGCAGTGCTCAGAGAGGTGAGGGCTGCTGACTTGACACAGGATTCAGAAAAGCAGTCTTCCAGTGGGAGAGGAGACAGTAGATGAACCCTGCCCCCTGCTGGTGGTTGGAAGCAACTGTCTTTGGGGCTTCAGTCTGAGAGGCAGTGAAAATTCAATGAGCCCTGGTTTTAGTCTGAGGGTTTTTATAAAGAAATGCAAAGAAATTCAGTGGCTTGAGTGTCTGAGGACCTTATTACAGAGCCCTGCCTCTCCCTCCTGGTTCAGAGGTAAGAACTAGAGAGGTCACTATAGACCTTGCTTTTAGAATAAGGACTCACCAAGGGCAATTGACCTGGTGACAGGAGGTTTGGGGCAGTCAGCCTGAACCTCTTGTGGGGTGAAACTGCTGCAGCCCGGCAAATCCTGTCTGGCAGCTCAACTCTATGGGCCTATTTCTGACCCACTTGGGGTGGAAGGTGTCTGTGTCACTCCAGCGTCTCTAGGTCAGCAGGGATAGGAGGCAACCCTGGGAGACAAGTGGTGAGCTGACTGGGGTGGCCCTGCTGTTAGGACCTCTGTAGCCTCCAGGGAAATAGTCCAAAGTGGCAGATACAATCATGCAAAGTGGACCTCCCTGAACCCACACAATGTCCTCCCACTTGCAGAGCGAAGATGGCACCTACACGGGTTTCATCAAAGTGCATTTGAAACTTCTGCGGTCCATGGCAGTGCCTGCTGGGATCAGGCCCCAGTCCATCGAGGATGCCATCAAGGAAGTGAACCTGGCAGCCACCACAGACAAGCGGACATCTTTCTATCTGCCATTGGATGCCATCAAACAGCTTCACATCAGTAGCACCACCACAGTCAGTGAGGTCATCCAGGGGCTGCTCAAGAAGTTTATGGTTGTGGACAATCCCCAGAAGTTTGCACTTTTTAAGCGGATACACAAGGATGGTCAAGGTATGAGAGAGAGGGAGAGAGAGAGGGAATGAATATGAATCATTCCCAACCAGAAATTACCTTTCCCCACTTTGTTCAAGTCCACTCCGTAAATCTCTGACCAGCCCTGGTGGGGTGGATGGAGGTGGGGTTCTTTACATCAGGAGTCCAACCATCCATGTGGTGTTCAGACCCATGGAAGAGCCACTCATGGGGTCTGGGTAGGGAGATGAGAGCAGATCATGGCCATTCACTGTGCCCCTCTCTGTGCATGTGCAGGAAAACCGCACCCAGGCTCCCATTTCCTAATCTGTATAATGGGAGGGAATCCACCCACCACTCCTAATCTTTTGGGAGATGATGTGAATATGGAAACATGCTGTAAACTCTAAGCAAACACCCAAGATAAAAAGTCATTGCTCTGTTTTTTTTTTTTTTTATTGGGCAGGAATCCAGGGCAAGTGCTCTACTGCTGAGCCACACTGCCATCTCACCCTGTCTATTCTTGTCAGATTCAAGTTCATTTCACTAGGTTGAAAAGACCCTCTGTCTTTTTCCAGTTATAAGACCTTGCTCTGCATTTCCAATCCTATCCCACCCTGTCCTGTTTCAACAAGAGCACCCAACTCCCTCTCTTGGTTTACAGTGCTCTTCCAGAAACTCTCTGTTGCTGACTGCCCTCTCTACTTGCGTCTCCTTGCTGGGCCCGACACAGATGTCCTCAGCTTTGTGCTAAAGGAGAATGAAACTGGAGAGGTGGAGGTAGGTCTGCAGCCCTTGCACACACCCAGCTCGCAGGGCATGCTGGGAGGGTAAAGACGGGCATTGTTCTAACCACCCAGAGTAGGTGGGGGCCAGGTGGCAGCAGCAGGAAGATAGATGATTTCTGGGGGAGCTGAGCTGGGGTGAGCATTGGGCCTGAGGCTCAGTGTTGAAGCCAGGATTGTCAGCCCCCAGGAGTAGCAATAGCAAGTCAGGGCCTGTGTCTGGCAAGGCCTGTGCAGAGAAAGGATTTTGTGTGCTTTGTCTCTGCAAACTCAGGATGGAGGACCAGGCTTTTTGTCCCAGGATAGCATAAGGCCCAGCAAGCTATACCACTAAGTTCCACTGGGTATAGACATTTTTGAGCCATTTGTCTCTCTTCTGTTTTTAAAATACTGACTTCCTTCTCCTAAGGGGGGTTAACCAGTGTCAAGTGTGGTGCCATATATGGGTGCTCTCCAAGGCTTGGTATACTTAGGAGGCAGAATCTTTGAGGAGTGATCAAGAGCAGAGGAAGGTGCCAGTTTATCACACTCTTCAGTGGAGGTATAGGGTATGAGGGTGGTCTTGAGGGCACTGGAGATTTGGATGATCTGGGCAGGTAGAGCTCTGATCCTACTTCAACCAGAGCAGCTCTGCATTTCCAACAGAAGAGTTGGTTTGGAGAAGATTCCACTGAGAGTGTGGGAGTGCTACTGGCCCCATGAAGGGCTCCTGGCTAGTCTGGAGGCCTGGCTTCTAGTTGGCATTCTGCTGCTTTCGGCTCCGTGACTGCGGTTATGCCACCTTCCCTCTGTGGTCTTCAGGTTTCTCATTTATCCAATGTGGGGATTAAACCCGATAGCCTATAATAATATTCTTTTGTGCTAGAAAACCACAGGCATCTCCATCCTTGGCCCCATGGGGCCTTTGCTCCTGAGTCAGCTTAGAAATCAGATTGCCTTCTATCCTGAGAGATCAGATCCTTTCTGGGTAGGCCTGAGCCAACCAGGCCTTCCAGAGCTTTAGAGGGTGTGCTTTCTCATCTGCTCCACCATCACAGGCAGTAGGTACCCAAAACCCACAGCAGATGAGAAAACAGGCCAAAGGGAGTAGAGTGAGGGGCTCAAGGTCACACAGGCTCAACCCAAGGGTCCTGAGTCTCAGTTCAGCTGGCCTCCAGCTGCTTCTGATGGATCTATTCGGTGGGGGCCTCAGCTGCTACTGGTTCTCAAAATAAAACAAGGCTCATGAGCCTCCAACTCTTGGTCACGAGATGACAGGATAGGAACTGTTGCTGCTGGTGCAACAGACATACACAACCCAAGGGTCCTTCACTGTGTCTGCCTAGTTAGCAGCTAAGTGCCTGTGAGTCATTCCAAGTGTATGAACCATGTGAAGAAGGTGGGGCCAGGCCCTCAGATTATGTCAACTTCTAACCTGTTTCCACTTCCATTTCTCCCCTCACATCTCCTCACAGTGGGACGCCTTCTCCATCCCTGAGCTCCAGAACTTCCTAACAATCTTGGAAAAGGAAGAACAGGACAAAATCCAGCAAGTGCAGAAGAAGTATGACAAGTTTAGACAGAAATTGGAGGAGGCTTTAAGAGAATCCCAGGGCAAACCTGGGTAACTGGTCTTGCTTCCTCTCCTCCCAATGCCCACAGATTTATTTTTATTATTAATTATTATTTTGCAACAGACACTTTTTCTCAGGACATCTCTGGTGGGTTCATCTGTACCCGCCTCATGGTTCCAGATGCGGCACAAAGTCTCTTCCATGGACAAGTGTCTGTGTGGGGGTTGACTCCTGTCCACCCCCCATGCTGTGCCCCTCAACAGACTCCACCAAGGATCAGAACTCATGAGATGGACAACATTGGCATCTCTCAAGCTGCAGGCCTTTCACTGACCAAATAGTTGCCTCTTTTGTTACCAAACCAGAACTTCTCACACCAGCCAGCAAAAGGAAACGAGTAAAAGGTTTTAGAACTCTATGTTCTTTCTCTGGCTTTGACTCATCTTCAGTTTCTCTTATTTGCCACCTTCAATACCTTTATTTATGAGTCAAATGTTGTAGCATATTCCTTTAGCAGGTCTGAGCTAAGTTCCTGAAAGCAGAATAATGTTCAGAAAAGGGTTGTCCCACACTGCCCAAGGCACCTGCTGTACCTGCTTAAGGGAAGTTCATGTGGCCCCTGGCCCAGCTGCTGGGCTAAGGCGCACCAAGGCGGAGGCTGGATTTCCAGGGAAGCTGCCGCCTGCTCTGTCCCTGGCCCTCATTGCTGAAACTGTGCCCGTGTAAACCCAAAGGGATATATATGTATGGTAGTCATATCTATGTCAACGGTCTTTGTTTTTAAGTTACAAATTTGAATTTAACATTGCCATCATCCTCATGTGTTTCCATTAAGGGGAAACTAGCCATTTACCATTTTAAAAGTCTCCTGCTGAGTCTGGAAATCAGGCAGCAAGAGAAAGCCAAAAAGCATTGCAGAGAAACGTGTCCAAGCTGTCTACAGCCTTGCCTCCACCTTCAGCAGCGGAGGGCCTGGCTGCCTTGGGTTCCCCCAGGGCCTCCAGCACTGCCTCCTTCCTCCCCCTGGAACTCTGGGATCTCCAGGTGCTGCCAGAGGCATGGCCTTGGTTACAGAGGGGGATCCTCCAACAGGGCCAACTTGGAGTCCTTTCTGTTGTGAAGCTGGCCAGGCATGGCTCAGTGAACCTGTGGGCCTGGCTCCCCATTGACCTCAGTGCCTTTTGTTTCAGAGAGACAGGAGCAGGGCGTGTTTGCATGAAGCTCTGCTGCTGACTTGCTTCTGCCAGGAAGTGGACAATGGCGGTGTGGGAGAGAAGGCCAGGGGAGCCCTCACTTCGAGCATAGGGTGAGGGTTACACACCTCCTACCCATCTGGGTTCCTAGGCTTTGACTTCCCAAGAAGTAATATCAGGGTTTTTGACAGGGAGGATCAGATTCCTGACTCTGAATATTTGTACTGGCTCCTTGTTCAGGGTCAAGCTTAAAATAAATTAGCCAGATGATTCCAGCAAGTAGCCAGGACTGCAGAGATGCTCCAACACAGAGGGAGAAGGACTTGCCATTCTCAAAAACAGAGTTGGCTTTCCCATCCAGCCTCGGAGTGACCATTTCTTTGCTGCCCTCTGCCTTCCTAAGTCCCTCTTGGGTCAGTTCCAACCCAAGCTTTGTGTAGCCTCCGAAGTTTCTTCCTTTACTAAGGCTGAGTCCATACTGCCCTATTCCCAGAGGAATGCTGACCCCTTGTCATAAACACTGTGTGTCATCTTCAGAGCTACAAAAGCAACATGAGCTAGAAACAATTTTTTAAGCCACAAAAAGCCTGTTTATCTGCTGCCTCATGCTCAGTCTTATCACTTTCCTCCCTTAAAAAAAAAGTAAATCACTCTCCCTGCTGTATATTAAAGGAAGCAGGTAGAGAGAATCCCTTTCCCTTTGTCCTGCATGTCTCTGACCTTAAGAGAAGGCATGGCTCCTGCTGCAACTGCTGAATGCTGCTGAGACCCTCCCTTGATTGGGATGGCTATTTTATTTTTGAGAAGGAAAAAAAAAGTCATGTATATATATATATGTATACAGGCATATAGCTATATATAAAGATGTAAGGGTGTTAATGAAATAAGATAATTATGGGAAAATTCAGACTTTAAAGCACAGTTAGACCCAGGACCCATGCTGAGGTCTGAGCCTCTGGAAGGCGTGTAGAGTTTCCTTCCCTCCCAGAGGTGGTGTGACTGCTGGTAGTGCCTTCTATGGTCGTGTTGCCCAGTGTATAAGTGTTTGTTCCAAGGATATTTTCTTTTTAATTGTCTTTCTTATATGGGTTTTAAAAAAAAGTAATAAAAGCTTGTTGTAAAAATGATTCACAATGGAAATGTCTTCCTTGAACTTCACGATCTTATGGAAATTGGGAGCTGGGAGAGAAGGACTAGACATGATCACACACTTCTTGGCAGAGCCAGGTTTTCTTTCACCAGTGAGCCAAGGAATGAAGGCTACCGTTCAAATAATTTTTAGAAACCTGTCTAATGTGTGGGCTGGAGGGTGCTGCCTGGGTGAGCAGCTATTCTATCTCTTGAGAACCAGAGAGGTAGGGGGACCTGTTACAGAAGCAAACAGAGAGTTAGAAAAGAGCAGAGGTAATTGGGTGCGGTGGCACACACCTGAAATCCCAGTGGCTTGGAGGCGGAGGCAGGAGGATTGTGACTTCAAAGCCAGCCTCAGCAACTCAGTGAGGCCCTAAGCAACTCAGTGAGACCCTGTCTCTAAATAAAATACAAAATAGGGCTGGGGATGTGGCTCAGTGGCTGAGTGCCCCTGAGTTCAATCCCCAATATCAAAAAAAAAGCAAGAGAAGAGCTTTCTGCGGCCAAGGATGTTTAAACACCAGGATGGGCCACTAAGTTAGAAATGGATATTCTATTTCTGGAATTATCTAAAAATGAGATAGATAGGAATGTGTCCTTGTAAGTTTAAGATCACTTTACCATGGAGGAAGAGAGCTGAATCAGATGATCAAAAAATTCCTCACCTTGGCATCCTCTGACTCCAACAAAAGAACATCTCAGTAATCATGGAAATAGCACATAAGTTATTAAAGAAAAATTCTTGCCTGCCTTCCAGTACCGATCATGGATCATGCAATGGATGGGGCGGGCCCTAGGGCTACAGAGGCTCTTCAGAGCTCATCTAGTTCAGCTATAGAGGAGAATACCCTATCCACCAGCCATCCTTAGAATTAGCCAGTTATTGTGCACATCTGCAACACCTGTTCACCCACACCTCCATGATGTGTATTTCAAAGATTCTGCCAAAGCATGGAATGAAGAAGCTTCTGCTTTTTACAACTCAGTTTGTTACAGCATGGGGCTAGTAAGCTCAAAGTTTTAAGTTTAACCTTGTTACAGATTACTTGGCCTAGCATATAGCTAAAGAATCATTATACAGTCTAACTCTACCCTGCCCTCTTAACATCTCCATGCTATTCACAGGTGGCGGGGGGCGGGGGGGGATGTGACTCAATGCAAATGTGTCACCATTACTGGAAAAAACATTTACAGCACAGGTCTCGACAGCACCCTGTCATGGCAGAATTCTGTGCTGATCACGATTAAGAGTGAACACTCCTTACTGGCTTTGTGTCTTTAACAGGGATTAACAAAAGACAACCTCTGTGAACCTTCAATACCTCCAAGATTGTGCAAAACAGATCATGTTTGTAAGGAACTTTGTACAGTACCACAAGTTATTTGTATTCATATTAAGGACCTTATTTTGTTCTACTGTACATATTCTACTCCCTCAGATCAGATTCTGGTTTTGTGGTACTATGATCCTCTTTGGGGTCAGTTTCTAGAAGTCCTTTTCTGGTTCTATATGCTCAAGCCAGTAGAGATAGTACTAGTGAAATTAAGGACTTGATTTACCAGTGGAAAAGGCTATTCTGGAATTGAGAGCAAACGGTGGGGGACCCCATACACATCTTCACATTCATCTCTTTCCTCCTTTTCAAGCCTCAGATGGGTAATCTGTGGAGGCTGTGAATGGCCTTACAAGTCTCAGTTTTTTAAAAAAGTGAGATGGGAAAGAAAAAAGGAAGTATATTGAAGTGTAATTGTTTCTTGATGGTAAAATCAAGAACTATTTAAGGAGTTTAGTGCCACTCTTGTTCCTATAGTATGAGGAGAGCTATGGTCACAGAAATGACTTCTACTAACTGAGGAAGGGGAGAACAATGGTTCTGGATATTTTCTGGCATCCAGTGATCCCTTTAGAAAAAAGCATGGTTCCTTTCTTAGGAAAATGTCATACGAATCTTGTTCAGCATTTCACGGAGTTCGTGGACTTTCTGAAGACCTCTTCTGTGAACCCCAGGCTAAGAAGGCAGGGCTAAAGAAGGCATTTGTGGGCTAAGACTCTTCACTGTAGCAAAGTTCTCACCTCGAAGTTACATTATAAATCTAGTTGTTAGTGGCAGTGTGCTAAAGTTGGGGGAAAATCACCGTCATACAGAAACCCATATTGTTATGTCTTTCTATCCTAAATCTGATGCAATTTAGAGTCAATTCTTTCCTCTGTTGCCTTGATTGATGGCCAAAGACAGGTTCTACTTTCTGAATGACTAACTTTTAGAGATGTGAAGGAACTGTGTGGGGATTAGGAGGTTAACTAGGTAGTAGGAGCAGATAAACAAGAGGCCATGAACTATTTGGGAGAGGGGCTTGAGAAACAGAAAGTCCTCACCTGCCTGTACTTTGAATGGGGTATTCTAAATTGAAAGCAGGAGCCAACTGAACATCAAAACCACCTGAATGGAACAAAAGCACCACACAGCAGCTTCTTCTGTTGATTTCAAGTGCTTCTGACTTTAAAAGTTAGTACATTTTTCATTAAGTGGAGGAAACAAGAAGGGAGTCAGATTTAAATCAGGATTTAAATTTTTGGTAAAGAATTATATTTTTTATTCACAAAATCTGAAAATGCTCATATAAATTACCAGCTCAGGGCTTGGATTTCCACTGGATCCACTGCATGAAACAATAGTGTGTCACTTCTTCTTGCCAGGTTTGGGGGCCTTTTCTAGGCCTTGGATGTGTTTTCGAGGGAGATGATATTCTTCTACAATCCAAAAAGCAGAAACTGCTCAGTGGAGCAGGAACTCACTCTCCCGCTCCCCACCAGCCCTACCATGATTTCTCCTTTGTCTCACAATGTCACTCCTTGGCCTAGTCCATAGCCCACACCAATCTCCCAGTCCTCTTTGCCCCAGTATTCTTGCTATCAAGACTCTGCTCTAATGATTCCCAACTTGGGATATGTTTGTCTACATCCAGCTGAAGCTCATCTTCCTGGGGCTGCCTTTTGAGATGGACCATTTACCCCACACCTCAAAGCCCAAGTTCATTCTTCAGTAATTTTCATATGGCCATCTGCCTTCCAGGTTCACTGGAAAATAGTACTTCTAGTTTTCTTATGGAAGAGAATGTATGTGACTGTGTTCGACTGTGTGCCTGTCTATTTTCCCCTGTGATTCTACTCAGCACCTCTCACATGGGTCTCTTCACATGAAGGGGCTCAAACCTGCAAGTCAGTTCTTGGTACTTTCTAAGATCATAAAATAAGTTTGCTTATTGAGCATTTACTATGTGCCAAACCCCAAAGATGTGACAAGCATGAAAAATACAAGGTCTCTGCCTCAAGGAATATAGTCTAACAGACAGCTCAGACATTAGAAAGTATTAGCCAAGCTATGGACACCAGCCAGAAATATAAACACAATTGGGAAGTGCTACCCTAACCATTTAAAAAATGCTCATTTAAGGAAAAGGACAGGGCCCCTGAGGTGGGCCAATGAGGGCAGGCAGATTCAGGCTGTGGAAGGGCATGTGAGCCAAGGGGACAGTCCAGGTGAATACAGGAAAAGTGTGATATGCTTTCTGTATTTGGGGAACAACAAAGGATTGGCAAGACTGAGGCTGAGACAGTGTGGGAGCCATGAAAAGCCTGGGGGAAAGCTTGCGGTCAGGCTAGGACAGACTAGGTAACAAATTCAGGAGTTAACTCTGAAGGCACTGAAGAGGCATACAGAGTTTTTTAGAGGGGAGTGATGTGAGCATATTTGTTTTAGAAAGCTGACCCGGGCAGTGCTACGGAGAATGATTTGAATTGAGACAAGCAGGAGGCTGGCCGGGTGACCCAGTGGGGTAGAAAGAACTTGGGTTCTGGAGAATGAACACATTCTAAGCCCAGGTACAGCACTTAAGTCAGGTGAACTCAGGGCAAGTTAGTGGACCTCTCTGGGCCTCAGTTTCCTCATTTGCAATCCTTTGGCAGCATTATGATTAAGGAGCTGCCTGCCAAAAGTCCAGCAAAGTGCCGAGCATAGTTTAGGTGCTCAATAAATGTTTTATAGAAAAGGGAGGCTCAGGGAGAAAATAAATGTATATGGTTGAAAAAGTGTTGAATTAGGAAGGGACAAAGATCTGGTTCAAACATTGGTTTCACCCCTTGTCAGCTGCTAAAATGACATATACACATGTGTATGTAGGTATGCTTCTCAATTTATGATGGGGTTATGTTCCTCCAGAAAAACATTGTGAATGGAAAATTTGGTTAAATCAAAAATGCATGTATTACACCTAACCCACCAAATACCATAGGTCAGCAGCACCATCCACTGGAGTACCTGCTGCTTGCCTCTGTGATCACATGGCTGATTAGGAGCCTTTCAAGAGAGTATCGAGGAGATATAGCGATCCCAGGAAAAGCTCAAAATTCAAATCCTGAAGCACAGTTTCTACTGAATGTGTATCACTTTGGCACATTGTGAAGTTGCACGACTGGTAAGACAAGGACCTGTGTGTGTGTGTGTGTATACATATATACAGGTATCAAGATAACTACACCAAGGTGAGTTGGCAGGAAGATCTTTGCCAAACTAGCCCAGTGCCAATGCTCTTTGGAGGAGATGCTCACCAAGCAACAGCCAGCCAAGGTGGTGCACCTGGTTTCCCTGGATCTGCACCTGCAGGCTGTCCTTGGAGCCGGGGGCAGGAGTGACGGTGGTGCTGGCCTGGCATCGTTGCTGGAGGATGGCAGCCACTGAGTATGGGTCCAGACCATAGGGTTCCAAGTTCCGGACCACAGTCACCTGAGGTGGGGTGGACAGTGAGGACAGTGGACTGATGGTGGTGCTAATTGCACATCCTCCCCTCCATAGGGCTTTTCAGAGCCTCAATAACCTCCTCACCCTCAGTATTCTCTGAGGGTTCACCATCCTTATCACCACGGTACTTTTCTTATTTTGTGCTTCTAAAATGATTCTCTCTACTCCAACCAATTATTATTTTTATTTTTATTTATTTTTTTGGTACTGGGGGTTGAACCCATAGGCCTTTAACCACTAAGCCACATCCCCAGCCCTTTTTAATATTTATATTTTAGTTTTTAGAGACAGGGTCTCACTAAGTTGCTGAGGCTGGCTTCCAACTCACAATCCTCCTGCCTCAGCCTCCTGAGCTGCTGGGATTACAGGTGTACACCACCAAGGTCTGTTCCATCTAATTATTGTGTTATATATTTAGGGGGATAGATACTCTCTATCCACATATAACATATGATGTATACTTCTTTACCATGGAGAATTTAAAACATAAATAAAAGTAGAACTAAACCTCATCTGTACCCAATATCAGTTTCAACAATTAGCAACTCATAGTCAACCTCGATTCATGCGCATCCCCATTCATTCCCAACTTCTCCAGTACTTTAAAGTAAATCCTTCCAGCAAATCCTTATTTCACCTATAAATATTTCAGTATTAACTTACAAAAGATAGGGATCTTTTTAACATAAAAATGAGGGGACTAGGGATGTGGCTCAGTGGTAGGACACTTGCCTGGCATGTGTGAGTCCCTGATTTTAATCTCTAGTACTGCCAAAAAAAAAAGATAACTTAAAAAAGAAACAATAATCACATGTATAAATAAATTAACAATAATTCTTCTAGATAGCAACAGTTGCACTTTTCTATTTTTATCAACTTCACAAATAAGAATGTAGCATTCATGTAATAAAGAAATATATTAATCCTTTTTTGAAGTTATTAATTTTTATTTTGGTACCAGGGAATTTATTTTGGTACCTTACCACTAAGCTATATCACCAGTCCTTTTTTATTTTTTGAGATAGTTCTTGCTAAATTGCTGAAGATCTCACTAAATTGCCAAGGTTGGCTTCGAACTTGTGATCCTCCTGCCTCAGTCTCCCAAGTCTCTGTAATTATAGGCATGTGCCACCATGCTCAGCTATCCTTTAAAAAAAAAAAAAAAAAAAACCACAATTCTGGCCAGGTGTGGTGGCTCATGACTATGAGCACAGTAACTCAAGAGACTGAGGCAGTAAGATTGCAAGTTTGAGGTCAGCCTCAGCAACTTAGTGAGACCCTATCTCAAAATAAAATAAAAGGGCTAGGTGTAGCTTAGTGGTAAATCACCCCTGGGTTCAATCCCTATTATCACCACTGCCTCCCCAAAATAAACAAATAAAATACACATGAGGTAGCCAACTCCCTCCCTGATGCATGAATCCCCAACTATACCTTCTCCCAACAAGTGATCACCTAATCTTTGCTTAGAGACCTCCATAAAAATAACTACTTCATGAAGCATCAATTTCAATTTTGGACAATTCTAATTGGCATTTTAATAGAAAGTTAGTGTTTAATACATTCACATACAACATAAATTGTTTAGTATAATGTATGGCACATAAATAATAAAGTGACTTCCTAATTATTATTAAAGCTATTATGACTGGTTGTCATTTATTGACTGCTTATTTGCCAAGTACTATTCTAAGTGCTTCACTCATGTATATCTTTCATTGGATCCTCATAAAGTAGGTATTACACAAGGTAGGTATTATCTCCATTTTTTACATAAGAAAATTCAGACAAAAGGAAATAAAGTAACTTGCTTGAGGTCAAAAAGTGAGGCAAAGGCTGTATTTGTACTCGGGTCTAATTCCAAAGCACATGCTTGTAACCATATGCTTCTGAAAAGTTCTCTTTTGAACTTAAGTTCAAAACAGGTATCTGGATTCCTACCCAATAATCCTATGTCTGTCTTCTCAAGGCATACAGAATAAGAGCACCACTTTTGCAAAGGACAGCTTTTCACATATTTGAGGATAGATACTGTTTTTTCACCACAACTTTGTGTGGTCAAGCTAAATATATTCAGTTCCTCAGCAATTTTTTATTTTATTTTATTTTTTCATTGAGGAAGGCCCAAGAAATAATAGAACATGTTGTTAAGGAGTGAAAGCCTATAATGTAATACCAAGAAAAAAAATTTTTAAATAAAATCTTGTTTTCTTTTGGAAACAGGTTCTAAGCAAGTTTCCTAGCACAAAATCCTAGTGGGCAATAAGGAAACAGGGTCAGCTCAACCTATTATACAGCATCTGGCCCAGGTTTCAGGTCAGTCTAAAAACTTCTAATCATACTAGAGAGACTAGAACTCAGCAGGGACATTAAATCCTCCTCCTCAAACTTTATGTCTTTTTAAAAATTACCTTTTTATTAGAAGCCCTCTGTGCAAGGGTGATTTCAATTGGACAGATTTTCCCTTTCTTCACAATGGGCTCTTGTCCAGGAAAGGTCACTTGATAGGCAGGCTGTAATTTTTCCAAACACCTGAAATGAGAATTATGAGTCATAAACTGATTGAGCCAACAGAACCCATCTCATCATACTGCACTACCAGCAGGCGCGTGGGTGTAAGCAGATCTTGTAGGTAGTGGTTTGCAACTTGGCTGTGTGTCGGAATCATTCAAATCACCTAGGGAGCTGCACTAATATAGTCAGTATTTCTGACCAGGCATGTATATCTTTTAACACTCCCCCAGTGAGCAAAGTTGAGACCCAGGGAGCATCAATGACTTTAGATCCTGCAAACTGTCCATGGATCTGGCCTTCTGAGACTCTGCGAGTCTCAAGAACATACCTCACCCAGCTTTGCCTCTGAGTACGGCTTCACATTTTTAACAAGTTTTAATAATGCGTTTTTTATAGAACACTTTTATCACAAGGAATTTCTACCACTTACCTAATCAAATTTTCTCCTGGTGTCATACAAATCAGAATCGACACACTTTTCTATAAAGAGCTACACAAAAAATATTTTAGGTTTTATAGGCCATCTGGTCTATACCAACTACTCAATTCAGCCATTATAGCAAAGCATTTTGCAGACAACACATAAATGGGTACAGCTGTGTTCCAATAAAACTTAATTTACTGAAACAAGTAGCAGGCAGGTTTGGCCTACAAGCTGTAGTTTGCTGACTCCTGATATAAATTATTTTTAGTTATGGTTCTATGGAAAAGAACTATTAAGAATCTTTCCTGGGCTGGGGTTGTAGCTCAGTTGTAGAGTGTTTGCCTAGCATGTGTGAGGCACTGGGTTCGATCCTCAGCACCACATAAAAATAAATAAATAAAATAAAGGTATTGTGTCCAACTACAACTAAAAAAATATTTTTAAAAAAATAATTATGTTCCTTTCCTTTCTTCCTCTTAAATTTTTGTATGTCTTGTCAGCTCCAATTGTCCCAATGCACCTCCACATTAGAATTGCTCAAGCCTGTGTATATGTACACTGACATGATTTGAATTACAGAAAGAAAGACATAGACTATGAGAATGATGATGTTGAAATTCAACATATTAGATATTAAGTGGAAAGGAGAAAAAAGTTGGAGAGGGGCAGCCAATCTATTACCTGGTCAGGAGACTGTCCCATGGAAGCTTCACGACTGTGTGCTGTTCATCTTTCTCTAAGATGCAATCACAAAGGATGGGATCCAATTTCACCAGACTATAGAGAAAGAAGAAACAATACAGAAATCTAAGACTCAAGCCTTCTGATCCAAGAGCTGACTCAAAATTTCTCTCATGTCTCCTTTATTGTCATTTAGGATGAGTCTGAGTTGTAGAAAGAGTTTATCAGGCAGGATGCTCTATTGGTGCAAATGCAAGTTCACTTTCCTAGGAAGAAGAACAGGTTGAGAAAGGGAATGTGGGATAAGATAAATCTGAAGACCGGGATTCTGAGTTCAGTTCTGCTACTAACCAACCATGGGACCACAGCTTTCTAGGTTTAATTTCACAGTAAGCTGGCAAGGAAGGAAGACAGAAAGCAGGGAAGTAAATACTAACTACCCCAGTCTGATCATTACACCCTGTACACATGTATTGAACTATCACACACTACTCCATAAATTTGTACAATTAAAATAATAACCTAGCGCTCAGGGTATACTCAGTGGTAGAACACTTGCCTAGTGTGAGTGAGGTCCTAGATTCTACCCCAGCACCACAATCAATCAATAAATATATCAATAAATAAAAGTAAGTAAACAAAGTTAAATATTTAAAAAAGAGAGCATTAAATCAGGCTGGGGAGTCTCAACTTTCTAAGCATGACAGTATCTTTTTAAGTAAAAAACAAAAAAATTAATGGCACTCTCTCCATCTGGTAGCATACTCTCTATGTCCACTTATTATGAAAATAATATTTAAAAAAAGAAAACAATACCAAAAAGCTACAATGATTTCAGATAAAATTTGTTTGAATTGTGGCTTCTTTGTTTTCTATTTCAAAAATTCTATGGCTACAGAATGACTAGTCCTTTATAAGGCTCTTTTTTAAAAAATTATTTTTGGTGTATAACTATACATAATAGTAGGACTAGCTGTTATGTATTTGTACATGCACTTAACATAGGTTAACAGTTTTTTAAAGTGAATTCTATTCTTCACAACAGCCATGTGCACTTAAAGATCAGAGGTGGATGTACACGAGGAGGTACTGTTTACTCAGTCTGTAGTCAATGTTGACAATACTCACAGATCTGAGCACCCTAGCTAACAAATCTAGATGCCCACAGTCTGTGGTTTGGAAACACTGGTCTCCCTTGTTTGTAAGATGCTGAGATTTTCTATGCCCCAGCCCAGACACCCTCCCCAAGTGTATCTATGTCTGCTGAAGATGCCAACCTATAAAAGAAAGATATCATTTTCCTCCTCCACTCACTTTTTGTTGTGTGTATCTACCAGCTCATTTTTCTTGGCATAGTCAATGATGATCGTTCGGACCTCATTGCTCTCAAGAATGCTCCCCTTCCTAGGAAAGGAGAAATGACCAGGGTTAATGTGAGCTGTGCCAGGAGACAAACTGCAAATACCCAGACTCACTCCCTGCTCAGCAGGACACTTTCCTTGATTGGTTTTGACCTCTATTTTCTTCCCTTTTCCTGACCAAGGCAAGTACAACTCTGTGAAGGAAAACTACAGAAGGAAACAGACTTATTCTCTCATTCATCTTAGTGCAAAGAAACATCCTTGTGGAAGAAGGCTTGAAGCTGGATTTGGGAGGATAGGAGACAGGGGCAGAGCAGGTTTTGCCAATCACAGAAGAACACTACTCAGGTTGAGAGAGAGGAAGTGTAGGCCAGAACACCACACAGGCAGAGCAGTGCTGCTCTCCAAAAACTCACTTGTGGCCAGACTCCTGGAAGAGCAGGGTCATGCTGGCTGGGACACAGTAGAGGGGTTTTATGTCTGGAGGGTGATAGGGCTGTTCCCTGCTACCCTCCTGGACAGTCTGGGAGGTCGGGGAGGGTTCGGGTATGATGAAAGATGTGATCCTAAAACCCAGCAGAAGGAAAGAAAAAACACATTTTATACTAGTATCTTGGCAATCCCCAGTCCGTGGCCCAGGTGCCCCAGGGCCCGCTGCACTACAGTGGCCAGGCCCCCTGCACTCACCTTGGGTGCTTCCAGTCCACAGCCACAACGCTCTCCACCCCTTTGCTCAGCTCCTTCACCTGTATAATCTGCTCCTGCTGCATGTGCTGCAGGAACTTAGAGAGCTAGGGGAGACAGGGCCAGTGGGAGGGGACTTCATCAACTCCACAAACATACCCAGCATCTTGGAAGTGCCTGACCAACCTAGGTGGGAACTGGAGGCTACAAGACAGTCCTTGCCCTTATTTAACTATGTATAGGGAGGCCTTTGCCATGCAGATCAGGGACAAGAAATTGCAAGAAACTTACAGGGGTATTCTGTCACAAATCTAATTAGATATAAAGGGGTCAAAGAGGGGAGAGGGTGCCCCCCAATCTGGCTCAGCCCAGGAATGTGTTTATTCTCCCTTAAATAAAAAACTTAATTCTAGCCTGAGCCCTAGTGTCCATCATATGTCCCTCCACAACTCTATGTGGGTATGCAGAGAAGGCACCTGCTTACCTTTTTGTAGCTTGACTTCTTTATGTCCAGCTGTCGTCCTTCAGGGCTGATGGCAGATGGAAAAGGCAAGTTAAGCCAACAGAGCAGTAATGGTGGGACCTGCCTGACATGAAGACAAAGGCTTTTCCCTCAGCCTTCTTCCAACACTCAGAGACAAGCCACTGTTCTAGAACTCTGCCTGATGGCAGCATTGGAGAGGAATGCCCAATAGCACTTTTCATAAAGATGCAGTGTTTCTGTGCTGTCTAGTATAGTAGCTATCTATGTGGCTATTAAGCACCTGAAATGTGCCTACTGTGACCAAGGACCTGAATTTTAAATTTTATTGTCTTTCAATTAATTTAAACTTAATTGGTCACATGTGGCTAGTGGCTATTGAATTGGATGTAGCTTCAGATTCCTCTCAACCCTTCCATGGCCTCAAATGTTCTACTTCAAAGTGAACCTTTCCAACAGCAAGGTCACACTGCGGACTACCAGATCTTGAGCAGCGTTCAACAAAGTTGAACAGGGTACACCCTGGAACCCAGTCCAGTAACATCTATCACTTACCCATTACCTATGGATGGTCAGAGTAGTGTAAATAGTGGAAAAAGAAGGTACAAAAGACTGACCTAAAATATTGAATCCCTGTTCTTTTACAGAAAAGATTCCTGTTATAGAGTAATTTGTTTGGGTGTAAAGAGTCCTAATGAAAGCTATAAATTTTTCCTCCCCTCTGAACTTAAACCTCTCCCAAAATGTCATATTCAACAGTAGCAGGGAGCCCTTCTAGAAGGTTCTCCAGTTTAACATCTCTCTTAAAGGATACTTAAGACTCCTTTCTCTGTTACTTATAACCCAGTAAAGTCAGGACAAATTACCAAGAATCTCTTCACATACTCTAGATGTCACACTTGCACACGAAGCCTTTAAAGCAGCCCACATGTTCATGGGAAAGAGACCAGATTAGAAACCACTTTTTAAAAACACAGCAAGAGTTGGGCACAATAGCACACATCTGTAATCCTACTATCTTGAGAGGCTGAGGCAGAAGGATTCCAAATTCAAGGCCATTCTGGGCAATTTACTGAAACCTTATCTCAAAATAAAATAAAAAGGGCTGGGGATATGGTTCACTGGTTCAGCATTTGCCTAGCATGTACAAGCCTTGGGTTTAATTTCCGGTTCTGGAAAAAACAAAGCAAGATGCTCAGAAAGAAGTTCAACCTTAGGATGAAAATGAATAAGCAAATTTCCTGAAATAACAGTATCTAATGAGTGCCTGTTATATAGAAGGCTGTGTAATTGTTATAGCCATTCAATGAGTACTAGAAATTAGGGCTCAGAGAAACCCAGTAACTAATTGAAATCTGCCTTGGTCAAATACCCTGAGGAGCTAGCAAGAGTGTTCACATAGCTGTCTTCTAAATCAAGCTTCTGTTCATGTGTAACATTGCCTTTCCTGATGGCCTATCATGGGTAAGGTGGGGTCCTCACACCTATTCTTCCTCTTAATGCAACCTGATATGGTCCACTTACTTTTCAGAAGTATGAGGGTGTGAAACATTCTAGAAGAAGTCTCCTGACAAAGAGGCTGCCTGGAGACTCTTCCTGTGCCTGAACATATTGACTAATACATGAGAAACAGCCCAGAACCACCAAAGCAGAGGCAGCATTCAGAGATCTTGGAAATTTCAAACTTCCATTTCTTAAACATCCTTCACTGGCTAAATTTAAGTTTTTAAAACCCAGAACCAAATCTGCTTACCAGATCCACCTTCTACTCCATTCTACCCACAGCATGTCATTCCACTAGTTCCTCATTAGCCCTGCTCTGCTCTGCCCTACTGCCAAGGAACAAGAGACCCAGACCCTGGCCCCAGCCCACATCAGTGCCTTCCATACCAGCAAGAAAACATGTGGCTGCCCAGCAAAGTGCTGGTGAGTAACGGAAGGTCAGCCTTTCTGACTCTGCATTTCAAAGCATGCAAGAAGCACTGCTGCAACAGTTCGTCCATTTGCTCTGCAAGGAAAAGACAAGAAACACATCCTTTATAGAACACCTGGTACAGTACAAGAAACCTCCCTGGCCCGGCTTCATCCCCAACCAACCCTTGGCTCTTGAGTAGGACCCACACCCAGGTACCAAAGTTCTCAGACTCTTGAGCACTGAACCTGTAAAGAAGGCTGACCCCCAGAGAAGGAGTTAAGCCACAAAGTCTCATAAAGCCAGGGGCATTCACTCAGAGAAATCAGACCCAGAAGAAACCCTAGGGGGCTCTCTAGCTGCAAACAGTCCAAGAGCTAGGGCAGACTGGCACGCAGGGAGACATGACTGGAATGAACTCCCAGAAAGATCACAAGATTACTGCACCACCTTCACCAAAAATAACTCTGCTGTGCTCTCCCAGAACATCAGTGCCACTCTAGTCAGCAAAGGAGGGGATGGGCCTTCTACCACCAGAGCCACACCTTGAAGAGGTCTGCTGTCTGTGGAGTCTTGGCTCAGGACCCCGGCACTGGTGTCTTCTGAGGCTTCTGAGAGGGACTTCTCCTCACATGCCTGATGAACCTCCCCATTTTCTTCCTCCTTCCCCTCCAGAGTCAGGCATCTCAGATCTTCCTGAAAGGTAGAGTCCACCTTCTCTTCACTAAGATCTGCAGGATCCAATACCAGTGGAGCAATTGAAGGTGGAGAGGACTTGTCTCCAGATCGCCTAGAAAAATCTTATATCAGAAACAGCAAGCAGCAGCCATAGCATTCCTGGTCAGGGAGGAGTTAGCTAGGAGCTCAGGCTAGCAAGAGCATCCTGGAGAGAGCAAAGGGCCTGGGCTCTTATCTCAATTCTTTCCATTCAATTATGGACCCAGAAAAATTCCAGGCCTTGGTTTCTGCATCTCTGAAATGAGGAGAATAATTCTTGCCTCCTCTTTAGCCCAAGGGAATAACCATATTATTAATAGAGCTCCTAAGACAGAGAAAGATTAAAGAAAGAGCTGCTTAAGATAAACCCATAAAATTACTTCTTTTATATGAGCAAAAAATAATAAACCATTTGAATTAAGTAACAAGATTAAGATTGCAAATGTATCTACAGTCCCGGTTTAGTGAACCCCAAACCCAGGGTTCAGTCTATGTAACAAAGTACAAATACCCAGACTACTCAAGGGATACAGAATCAGTGGCTTCTGTGTTAAATCAAATGCAATCTAACTTGCAAAGTCAAGATTACTATGGTTTATTCCCAAACCTCAGGAAGACAAGAAAAATAATTGATGCCACATAGCACAGTGTACAGGGAAGTAAAAGGCTTTAGCTTGGCCAAGATTATGTCAATCAAACCACGTTTTAACTGATAGTTACAGCAAGGCTTATTAGCTTTTTTTTTTTTTTTTTAAACTGGGGATTGAACTCAGGGGTACTTGACCACTGAGCCACATTCCCAGCCCTATTTTGTATTTTATTCAAAGACAAGGTCTCCCTGAGTTGCTTAGAACCTCGATTTTGCTAAGGCTGGCTTTGAACTCATGATCCTCCTGCCTCAGCCTCCCAAGCCACTGGGATTATAGGCATGTACCACTGCACCCAGTTAGCATTTTTAATAGTGACACCAAATTGTACATTTAAGCTATTCTGATTGGGTAAATTTAAAAATTTTTTTTAAATAATTTTTTTAGTTGTCAATAGACCTTTATTTTATTTATTTATTTGTGGCACTGAGAATCAAACTCAGTGCCTCACACATGCTAGGCAAGTGCTCTACCACTGAGCTATAAACCGAGCCCTAAAAACAAAGTGTTTTTAAGTTGGGGTGGAAGGTAGAGGCAGTTGCTGATAAAACAACTTAAGATATGACCTTGATTGCTATGGCCCAGACTGAGAATTAGAAAACAAATTTTTTCTAGGCGTGGTGGTGCATACCTACAATCCCAGTGACCTGGGAGACTAAGGCAAGAGGATCAGGATCTTAGTTCAAAGCCAGCCTCAGCAACTTAGTGACACCCTAAGCAATGCAGTAGGACCCTTTCTTAAAATAAACAATAAAACAGGGATAGGGTTGTAGCTCAGTGGTAGAGTGCCCCTGGGTTCAATCCCCAGTACACAAAAAGTCCTCCCAAAGCAATAGAACAACAATGAAAAAAGGTTCTAAGAGAACCCTCAAATATATGTTTAAATTTTTTTTTTAATTTTGCTAAAAGAGGCTAATGAGGTTGTAACCTCCAACAAAGTAGGGCTGAGCCAACACTTATAAAGTGAACAACCAAGACTGGACTAGAAAATGTAAGAAGAAATCTATACCAATAGGCCACAACACTTGGCTTAAAGACCGGTTTAATAATACTTTTGAGAAAAACACTATTTACTGTTTTCATTAAATAAGAAAACAAAATAAACAAAAGAAAAAAATTAAAAACAGGAAATGAACTAGCAGATGGCTCTGGAAAGCAACTGTTAGTCAGAATATTTTACTTCCATAATGAGAGATGAAGATCTTAGAATGGGATTGAATAATACAAGAGTAATCAGTCATCATCCTGGTGTCTAGAGTCTACCCTGCTTTTACTTGGATTCCAAAGTACTCATCTCAGAGTTAGATGCTAAGATGTCATCGCCAGACTGACTAGAACTAAAAAAAAAGGAATCACCCCTACTAAAGGACAGAATGGCCAACCCGGAGATCCTCTTCCAGGTCTAGGAGTCTAAAATTCACCCAGAAAATAAAATTCATTCCAATCTTTTGTCTGAACAGGCAAAAAAAGTTTTTCTCCCTCATTTGGCAAGGAAATGATGATCTGGGGTCAGCAATTTGCCTAAGGACCTGGCTAGAAACAATACTTTGCTATTTCTTAATCCCAGGTTCTGTCTCCACCTACCCCAGCTCCCTGTAAGCAGAAAAAACGCTGTACCCACCACAAGTGATCCTGGTAAGTGTGGAGCACAGAAAAGCCCCTTCCCTTCAGACCTGAAGTCAGCATCTCAGCAGTGGACATGGCAGCTACTCCGATTGCTACAGGGGCTCTAGGAAGAACAAGGCCAGAGACAAGGGTCAGGGAAAGTCTTCCAGGAGGGAACATATTCAGACTGTCTTTCCTCCTACGTGGCCACTAGTATCACAAAATTTTGAGTCACTGAGTCCACTCTCAATTTTCTTCAAATTATCTATAAATATTACTTTCAAATACTCTAGATCAAACATTGACCTTCTAAGTACTTCTCTCCTGACATGATCACTGGCTCTGTTTTATACCTATTATCAATTAAACCCAGGCATGCCTTAGAAGGGTAATGGGAGTTTCCTTCCTTTAATTTCAAAAATATAAATGATCTCCTCTACCTTAAAGAAATTATAGCCATCATCCTATAAGGAAGTTCTCTGGAGGAGAAATCTATACTAATAGGACACAAAAAGTTGGCTAAAAGACCAGCTACACACACTGGCTGAAATAAGCTGCCAGAGATAAGGCTGAGAGATGCCACAGGAAGGAGTTGATCAGTGGAGCTCATGAGAGAAGTTCCTTCTGAGTTGGCTCTTTACCACAGGGCTTGCCCTATGTAACTGAACATCTAAGAACGGTGTATTGCCAGGATACCCAAAGCCACATTTCCAGTAGCAGCAAAAACTCCCAAAACCCAAGTGAGAAATGTCTGTCAGCCTGGTGTTACTCAATGTTGATCACACATTGCCTGTGAAAGTGGGTGATCAGGTGGGTAATAGTTGGGGAATTCATAAGCCTGGCAAGGGAGCCTGGATTCAAGGGCAGAGATCCCAACAGCTGAACTTAAATTTTATTTTACTAAATGTGATGGCTTCACTTACTGTGCCTACAGGACCATATCTACCACAGAAACTTTGAGCCTGGTTTCTTTCCCAGTTCTTAAAAGAGGGGTCTTTTGATTCTACCCCACCAAGGTTAATGGCTCAATAACTCCAATCCTAAATGTGACTGTATTTTTAACAAACCCAGTGTGCCCCGATCAATACCCTGATCCATCCCCAAGCTCCAGCCCCATATATACCCTAAAAGCTAAACTGAACAGGCCAAATATCCATTTATATAGTTGAATATAATCTTGCAGGAGAAAACTAATGACACATGATTGTTTTCACCTGTATTTCTGTTATAGGTAAATAAAAAAAAGGTTTCTAGGTGCTTGGTTTAAAAAACGTTCAAGTGAAATGACTAGCTGAAATAAAGATCTTACATACTCAATCCTCTCATGTATACAACCTCTCCTTCTCTCAAAGAAGCAATGATTATCTAGGTATGGTGGCACATGCCTATATTCCCAGTAACTTGAGGCAGGAGAATCACAAATTTGAAGCCAGCCTCTGCAACTTAGATAGATCCTGACTCAAAATAAAAAAGAGCTGGGGATGTAGCTTAATAGTAGAATGCTCCTGGGTTCAATTCCCAGTATCACAAGACAATCAAGCAATGATTAAAATAATGAGATGTCATTTTTCATTTATTAGGACAACAAGATAAAAATGACCCATCAAATCTAGTGTTGGTGAGAGTATAGAAATAGACTCCATATGTGCTATAGGTAGATGTTATGGTTTGGGTGTGAGGTGTCCCCAAAAGGTGCACATGTGAGACAATGCAAGAAGATTCATAAGAGAAATGATTGGGTAGTGAGAGTCTTAACCCAATCAGTGAATTAATTCCTTGATGGAAATTAACTAAGTGGTAACTGAAGGTGGGTAGAGTGTGGCTGGAAGAGGTGGTCACTAGGGGTATGCCTTTGGAGTATATATTTGGTGAGCTGAGCTTAGTCTTTCTCTGCTTTCTGATTATCATGTGAGCTGCTTCCCCATGCCACACTTTTCTGCCATGATATTCAGCCTCACCTTGGGCCCTGAGGAATAGAGTCTGCTGTCTATAGACCTAAGAGCTCGGAAACCATAAGCCCCCAAATAAACTTTTCCTCCTCTACAGTTGTTCTGGTCAGATCGTTTAGTCATAGCAACAAAAAGGCTGGCGAAAAGAGTAGGAATGAAAACTGTTACTGTTTTTAAAGGGAAGCAGAACACATCTTTAGCTTAACAGTTCTACTTTTCAGTATCTGTTCTAGAAAAATATTGACACTGGAGTCCCTAGAGGCATCAAGAAGATATTGTTTGTAAGAGAGACAAATTAGAGGCAACCTCAATGTCCACCAACATAGGAGGTGTCCACCACATAGCAGGTAAAAAGATTTGACAGAAATCTTTTTATACTGAAATGGAAAATGTCCACACTGTATAAGTGAAAAACAAAACATAAACATCATTATTTTATATTTCTCAATACATGTATTCCAAATCATGTTTTGTTTTATTTGAAGTGCTTAAAGCCAGGGCCTCTGCCAGGGGTGTGGTGCACACTTGTAATCTCAACAGCTCTGGAAGCTGAGGCAGGAGGGTCAAAAGTTTGAGACCAGCCTCAGCAACTTAGCGAGACTCTGTCTCAAAATAAAAAAATAAAAAGGGTGGAGATGTGGTCGTATAGCTCAATATCCTTGGTCCCAAATAATAAAACAAAGCCCAGGGCCTCATATATATATGCAAGGCAGGCACTCTACCACTGAGCTACACCCTCGACTCCAAATCATGCATTTTTATACACAGATATATGAATTGAAAAGAGCACATCAAAATGACAATGGCTACTTCAGCTGGGTGTGGTGGTACATGCCTGTAATCCCAGTGGCTTGGGAGACTGAGGCAGGAGAATTGTGAGCCAGCCTCAGCAAAAGTGAGGTGCTAAGCAACTCAATAAGATCTTGTCTCTAATAAAGTACAAAATAGGGCTGAGGATGTGTCTCAGTGGTTAAGTTCAATCCCCAGTACCTCCCCTCCAAAAAAAATGATAATGGCTACTTCTAGAAGAAAAGAATTTGAGATGAGGGGGTCTTTTAATTTTTCAGAATTGCTCATACTTCTTAACTTATTTTTAAAAAGAAGCAGAAAGGTGATGGTTGACTCATATACAAATGTATTACCTACAGATGTACTAAAAATTACTCCATTATAAATTAAAATAGTAGGGCTGGGGTTGTAGCTCAGTGTTACAGTGCTCACCTAGCATGCATGAGGCACTGGGTTCAATCCTCAGCACCACATAAAAATAAAATAAAGATATTATGTCCCTCTAAAACCAAAAAATTAACTTTAAAGAATGAAATGTCACAAACTGAAGGAGCCTAGAAGACATGGTAACTAAACGCAATGCGCTACTTTAGGATGGATCCTTGAATGGAAAAAAGATACTAGTGGAAAAATATGTTAAAGTCTCTAGTTAACAGTATTGTCCCAATATTAATTCCTTAGTTGTGGTAACTACACTATGGTTATGTAAGATGTTGTCATCAGTGGAAGCTGGATAAAGAGTATATCAGAACACTGTACTATCTTTGCATTCTTCTAAAAAATCTAAAATTATTTTTTAAATAAAATGTTTTTTAAAGGCAGCAGTCACACCAGAGGCAAACACCCTAAGCCCAAATATACAGACACTCCACAGACTTACTGCCATGGTCCCGGTGGCTCACTATATGCTTCTTGCAGAAAGACCTGTTTTCTCTTTCAACCTTTCGTCTGTATGTTTTGGAAGTTGTCATTTCCCTTCATCTCCCTTTTACCTATGTTTCCCCCATGAAAGAAATAGTATATTTCTGCATGGTATAGTACCTGTTTCCCACCAAGGCAATGGCACAGAGGTCGCCCTTCTGTACCTGAGGCAGACCAGCAGGGGGCACCACTAATCCTGGCAGCATCAAATCTGCAGCAAGCAAAAACATCACAGCTTACTTTCTGCCTCCATCTCAATCCATATTTTACTTCATCATTTATTTATGAAATTGACAAAGAAACACTTATTAATTATCAGCTATGTTATTTATAATGAAAATTTTAAACAGCAACTTGAGTATCAGCCCTCACTTTAGGGGGGCCAATTGTCACATAGAAGCACCAGGTTGAGTGTCCTAGGCCATGATCTATCTTGTGCTAGTTCCCTAAATACAGTTTATTGACTTAAGTACAGTATATGGCAGTTCATGGTATACCTTAACATCACTTATATAAGGCTACAACAAAGTTGGACAGGCCCAGAGAACTTGTGGAACCAATCCACCAAGGGGTAAAAACAGGGGAAAATTTCTATTTTTCAACTATATGAACATAAGAAATGCGTAATTTATTTAGTTAATTGACCTTTACTAAGCAGTTTCAGGCAATAGCCAAAATTTAGGAAAATCCTCTTACCTGCTCCCCCAACCAGTTTTTCAAGTACCAGAGGCCATGTTGTAAAGGTTGGTAGAAGATCAGGATAGGACCACAGTGTGTACACTGTTCAAAAAAAGATCCAGAAGACACTATCAAAAGGTCAATTTGACAGGGAACTTGCATATTCACATTAATTAGAATACAGAAGGAAACTGAACTCTAGAGAAAGAGGTTCTAAGGGGGTGCCAAGAGCTTTCATTCTTGAGGAAAACAGAGACCTAAGGAACTGAGTGTCACCTGAGACCTGAAGGCACCCAGGTGCCTTCTGGATTGCGGCTGCAGAAAATGGTCCCAGTGAATTAAAATGGAGGCAGAGAACCAATGAGGCTGTCACTTATGACCTAAGAAGTAAGTGACCTAATAACAGAGTCAGTCTATAAGAAATTTTGAAATTTTTCATGTTTATTATTTTTATTCCATTTCTATAGTGATTAGTAGAGAAGCAGTGGTAGGGGTAGTGGTGGCCTACAGACTACACTGTTGAAGCCAATCTTACTGGAAGAAAAACCCCAAGCAACAAAGTAGATATCAGCAGCTATGGAAAAAAGGAGAGTGAATCCCTGAGACTGGTGACAAAGAGTGACAGCAAAGAATCCTAGACAAGGGCTGGGGTTGTGGCTCAGTGGCAGAGCACTTGCCTTGCACATGTGAGGCACTGAGTTCAATCTTCAGCATTACACAAAAATAAATAAACAAAATAATAATATTGTGTCCATGTATAATTAAAAAAATATTTTAAAAAAGAATCCTAGACAAACAGTCAGAGCCTAAAAGAGAATCCCTGTAAGATATCCCAACTGAAGCACATCAAAAGCTAGCTGGATATGTAGCTTAATTAATCCAGCTTCTTTACTACCACAGTATTTTTCTTCAGTATCTTAAGAAAGTGTTGTTAAAGCTAAGAATGGTGCTACATGCCTATAATCCCAGCAACTTGAGAGGTGAGGCAGGAGAACTGCAAATTCCAGGCCAATCTCAGCAACCTGATGAAGCCCTAAACAACTTAGCAAAACCCTGTCTCAAAATAAAAAGGGCGGGGGATGTGGCCCATAGGTAAAGTGCCCCTGGGTTCAATCCCCAGTACTAGGAATGAAGGTAGGAAGAATGGAAGGAAGAAAAATCCTGTTACAGATATCTTAAAGAATATTTCTTACATGCCCTGAAATTCCATCCTTTGCAAGAACATAGCTCTATCTCTTGTTAATCCACAGTGAACTCCTCTGCATCGCTCCTTTATTTCAGAATTTCCCTCTGTAACCCCTCCACTTTCTTTATTAGTTCTTCCCCCACACCTGCCACTCCTTTTTATAGCAGTTTCTGATCTTACAAGATCCAATTCTAGGTACAGTGGGTCTTGAAAGATCTTTAGGAATGGTATTGAGAGATTCTGTGCTTGTTTGATTTATGGGAGCCAGGCTAATGAAACAACAGAGGGAAGCATGGGTTAGGCAAGGACTATAGTAATGGCCATGCTGTTGCCATACCTGTTGGATACAGATTTTTCTCCAGTTCAAATAGGATGGGGTTACTGCCACTCATATAAACAGTCACTGCATCCCCTTTGTGAGCATACAGCTTCACAATGTTGAGCTCCTCCTTTCCAGGTATTAACACAGAAACCTGATCAGTTCCGAGGGTGGGGAAGGCAGATGTCACATCAGCCCGAAGTTTTCTCCTGCAGAAAAGCACACYAGTACCATAAATGCTACCTTACGGACTTTAATAAATATGGAGAATTCAGAAGACTCACTATAAAATCATACAGGCCAAGGAAAAACTGCCTAGTTTATTAGGCATACTCTTCCAAAATCCTATTTTCTCTCTCATCTAGTGTCTCATTTATTTTCACATATTCCTGGGCACATCTTTCCATTTTAAAGATAAGAAAACAGAAGCCCAGTGAACAACTAAAGTCATCTGACTTAGGAAACCCAGCCCTGCCCTCCTGATTCCATGCCTACACCTTCAGACCCAGTCCCTTCTCATGTTTGATACATCTGTTAGCTCATAATTAAATAGTTATACCATGGTACCAAGAATGATACCTATAGAACACTGGTTCCAAAATTCCTGATACAATAACTACTTGTGACACTGTCTGAATAGACATGATTCTTACCACATGTGCCTTATCCCCTCCCACCTCACCCTCCAGCTATCTCTCCCACGGACGTAATTCTCACACACGTTTCAGTTCTCGGACCCCCATCTTTCCCAAGGAGCTCTAAACTCTGTGGAGGGCAAGGGCCTTGAATTCCTTCATTTTTCACCCGCGATAACACCTTACAGTCTGCAGTCAGTAACGCTGAGTTATATTTTCTTTTAATCTCAATAAAATATGCAAAAGAAAGCCCGGAAGATAAATCAGGCTTCTTTTCATTCTCATCTTCAAAACGTAACTAACCTTTCCCTTTGTCTTCTCGGCCTCTGCCCCTTCCCCAGGTCATCTGACCGAGCCCAGGGAGGGCTTTAAGCCGATGGGGCCAGAGATGTCTGAGGCCTCGTGGGCAGAAACCCTTTAGCTCCCTCACCTGTCCGACCCCTTGATGGCCGTGTTGGACTTGACCCGAAAGGCCTTGGCGAACATGTCTGCTGGGGTAGCCGGGGGAAGACAAGAAGAACACAGAAACCAGAGAGTGTCAGGAAAGTGAGACCATGAAGCCTCCCCGGGCTGAGGCCCTGGGGGCAGCCATGCCGGGGGCCCCGCCGCGAAAAGTGCCCGGCTGGAAATCCGGGTCGCGCAGCTTTGCGGCCGTAGTCACTGCGGAGGCTGGCGGCCGCCCCTAGTGGCGAGGCCAGGAACTGAAGCAGGGCCAGGGAGGAGCCCGGGAACATCAAAGCCCAGGTCGCTCTGAGCCTGCGGGTCTCAAGGGACCCTACTGCACCAATTGAGCTTTTAGTTCAATCCTTCCAACCCATTAGCGTTAGATTCTGCGTTGAATAGAAACTTTGCAAGCTCTCATTCCAAATTGGCTCAATTCTGCATAATTAAATGAATTAAGTTTGCAGTCCTTTTGAATGCTTCTCTTCAAGTATTTTATTTAATAATGTAAAAATTGTATTGTAAACTAGAGGCCTCACCTAGGATATTCTTCTCTCTGATTTTTTTTTCCGTACTAGGGATTAACCCCAGGATGGCTTTCTCTTTACCTCTGAACTACAACTCCAGTCCTTTTTATTTTTTATTTTGAGACAAGGCCTCCCTAATTTGCTGAGAATGGCCTTGAACTTGTGCTTCTCCTGCCTCAATCTCTGGAGTACCTGGGATTACAGGCATGGGCCACCGTGCCTATCTTCCCTGATTTTTATTTTTATTTTTTGTAGTGCTGAGGGTCAAACCCAGGGTCTTGTGCATGTTAGTCAAGCACTCTACCAATGAGCTAAACTTCTAACCTTCCTCCATAATTTTTAATTTACATAGGTGATAATGATAGTAACACAGAATCCACTCTTGCTTTAGGTTTGCCCCAGGTAGTCAAGCAGCCTGGGCAGAAAGATTAGGTTTCCCTAGAGTAACAACTATGTACCCTGGAGGCAAGAATTTAAACACCTGGGGTCCCTGCCCCTACCACGTTATAAATTTGCATATTAAAACTTCAGAGTTGTGTATCCTTTCACCAATAAAAAATCCTATTTGCTTAATTAATTGACAGTTGCATAAAGGAGAATTTCACATGAACTGTCCAAAGATAGGCCTCCTGAAGAGACTGCCCTCCACCTACTAAACCTTTGACACACCAGGCCTTTATTCTGAAATACCTCAGTCACAAGACCAAAGTCAGAGGATCCCAGGAGAGAACAATGCCAAGTCTCCTTCTCCTTGAAAACCCACTTGGTCACCTTTGGGGTGTATGATACAGAATTGACAAACCCGAAAGCAACCAAGATATCCTTCGGTATGTGGATGAATAAGTAAACTGTGATCCATCCAACAGTGGAATACCATTCAGTACTATAAAGCTACAAAGTCATGAAAAGACTCCTGCCTCAGCCTCCCAAGCTGCTAGAATTACAGGCAGGTGCCACTGCGCTGGGCAAGAACTAAATTTTTATCCCTACCTTATATGCTATTCAAATATGAACTTAAGACAGATCATAGATCTAAATGAAAAATGTGATTCAGAAAACTTCTAAGAATAATGAGACATCTTTGTGACCCAGTATTAAGCAAAGACTTTTTAGAAAGGACACAATAATCATGATTCATAAAAATAAATACTGGTAATTTTATTTTATTTTATTTTTATTAGTTGCTCAAGACAATACAATGATCTTGACATGGTAATTTTAATTTCATCAAAATTAATAAATTCTGCTCTTCAAAAACATGTTAAGATCTTGAAAATTGCTGAGAGTAGTTACTAAGTGTTCTCACCAAAAAAGAGATAAGTATGTGAATATATGTGCTAATTAGCTCAATTTAGCCATCCTACAATGGATAAATATTTTTTAAAAAAAACAGTTATATACAATAAATATATGCCATTTGATTTTTCAATTAAAAAGAAAGAAATCTTTGGGGAAAAAATGAAGAAAATGAAAAGATAAGCTAAAGATTAGGAAAAGGGATTTGTGTTTATAATATATAAAGAACTCTCAAAACTAATTTTTATTAATTAATTTATTCATTTTAATTAGGTCTGTATGGCAGCAGAACACATTTTGATTCATTGTACACAACTGCAGCACAACTTTTCATTTCTCTGGTTGTACACAATGTATCATCGCACCATATGTGCAGTCATACAAGTACCTAGGGTAATGATGTCCATCTCATTCCACTATCTTTCCTACCCCCATTCCCCCTTCCCACTCCTCCTTCCCCTTTGCCCCATCAAAGTTCCTCCATTTTTCCTATGCCCCTCACCCCCATTATGAATCATCATCCACTTATCAGCATCCACTTTCGGGGATTGGCTTACTTTGCTTAGCATGATATTCTCCAACTCCATCCATTTACCTGAAAATGCCACAATTTTATTCTCTTTTAATGCTGTGTAATATTCCATTGTATATATGTACCATAGTTCTTCATGCATTCATCTATTGAAGGGCATCTAGTTTGCTTCCACAATTCAGCTATTGTGAACTGAACTACTGTAAACATTGATGTGACTGCATTATTAAAGTATGGTGATTTTAAGTCCTTTGGGTAAATACCAAGGAGTGGGATAGTTCCATACAGCTTTCCAGATTGATTGTACCAATTTGCAGTCCCACCAGCAATGTATGAGTGTGCCCTTTCCCCCACATCCTCACCAACATTTATTGTTGTCTGTATTCTTTATAACTGCCATTCTCACTGGCGTGAGATGAAATCTTAGAGTAGTTTTGATTAGCATTTCTCTAATTACTAAAGACATTAAACATTTTTTTCATATATTTGTTGATCAAATGTATATCTTCTTCTGACAAGTGTCTGTTCAGCTCCTTAGCCCATTTATTGATTGGGTTGTTTGTTTTTTTAGGTTAAGTTTGAATTCTTTATATATCCTGGAGATTAGTACTCTATCTGACGTGTGTGGCAAAAATTTGATCCCAAAATGTAGGCTCTCTCTTCATCTCATTGATTGTTTCTTTTGCTGAAAAGAAGCTTTTTAGTTTGAATCCATCCCATTTATTAATTCTTTATTTTATTTCTTGCGCTTTAGGAGTCTTGTTAAGGAAATCAGGACCTAATCTGACATGATAAAGATTTGGGCCTATCAAAACTAAATATTAAGGAAATTAATAACCCAATATAAATGAACAAAGTATTTGAATAGGCCCATCACCAAGCAAATTATATGAATGGACAATAGGCACATGAAAAGATTCTCAACATCCTTAGTCATTAGGGAAATGCAAATTTAAAACACCATGAGATACCACTACACATTTATTATAATAGCCAAAACAAAACCCCATAATACTAAGTTCTGACAAAGATAAGGCAACCGGAATTCTTATTCCTTGCTGGTGGGGATGCAAGATACTATATACACTTTGGAAAATAGGATAGCAGTTTGTCATAAAGCCAGCATGCATTTATTGTTACCAAGGAAAAACCTAAATAAACCCTCTAGTAGCAGCACTTGCTCTCACCTGACTTAAAGTCACTCATTTTGGAGGTCATGTGGCAGCCACACTACTGAACCACCTTGGAGGCCTCCAGCCCTCACCAAGTCACCCCATGCCACAGGTCTTCAGGTCTTCCAACTGAGGCCCTCACCAGCAGGAAGCAGTTTCCCCTCTGTCCTGTTGAATTCCTAACTCACAGAAACCATGAGGTAATAAGTTGTATGAGCCAGTGTTCTCTAGTGAAACCGAACTAAAGAATGTAGATATAATTACATGAGGGAATTTATTGACTGACTTATACCATCAGAGTCTGGATAGTCCCACCAATGGCTGTCTCCAGGCTGGAGAGCTGGGGAAACCGGCAGCTGCTCAGTCCAAAAAGCTGGGTACCTTAGAACAAAACGGACCCATAATGCATCCTCAGTCCCATTCTGAGTCTCTGAAAGGCCCCTGGAGCCTTGGTGTGAGTCCATATTCAAAGGCTAAAGAATCTACAGTCTGATGTCCTTCAGCAATGGCAACAGCAAAAAATGCTGCTCACAAGAGTTGAGACTGTGAGTTTCCTTCCCCCCCGCCTTCTTTTTTCCCTTGGAGGCCGTTAGCTTATTGGACAGAGCCACACACAGTCAGGGCAGGTCATGCCCCCTCAGTTCACCAATCCACATGCCCGTTGTCTCTGGAAACACCCAGAGGGCGCTCAACAAGTTTTCTAGGCATCTGTCAACCTAGTCACATAGACATCCACAATTAACCATCACAGAAATTATAATTTTTGTTTTTAAGCTACTAAGTTTAGGGGTGATTTGTTATGCAACAGTGGACTACAAATACTCAAGTATTTCTGTATCCGGAAATGGCCAATTTGTCCATGTCTCTGTGATGGATGCCATAGCCATCTGCAGTCCTGTTGCTCATTCGAGGGCTCATCCTGCACTGGCTTCTTTGTTTACCCTGTGAACATTTAAAACTTAAAAGAGATGTTTGACCAATGAAAAGTCAGATGGAGATGGGAAAGGAAGGGGCTCTAATCATAAAACCCCTGCTAGGAATTCTGTGATTCTGTAGATTTTTATGAATGGAAAGCCTCAATGAACCCACAATATAAAAGAGAAACAGCGATCTGGACGTGAATGTGCAGGCCTTTAAGCCCAGCTACTCCTGTGGCGGAGGCAAGAGAATTGAAAGTTCAAGGCCAGCCTGGGCAACTTATCAGGATCCTGTCTCAAAATAAAGTAAAAAGGACTGAGCTGTAGCTTGGTGGTAGAGTCCCCTGGGTGCAACTCCTAGTACCAAAAACAGAGGGAACCAGAGGAAGTGCTTGTTCTTGCAAAAACAAAAGATGTGGGAAAAGGTTTGAAGAAGGCAGAGTTCTTCTAAGCCCAGGCCAGCCAGGCTATGTTGCCTGTTCTTCTAGGCTGGAATGGTGGCCAGTTGGGACCAAGGGACCCAGTCTGAAGACAGCTGTGCCCACTTCCCAGATGACTGCCTCACATGCTCCAGAGCTCTGAGCTATCTCAAGCGGTGTGACGACTTTTTTTTTTATGATGCCTTTCTGTCCTTTGTCCCTTCTTGGGGCTGCCAGGACTAGACATTTTTAAACCCTCTTTAAAGGACTTTAAAGTCCTCTTTCTTCCTTATCTCTCCCACTTCAACTCACACCTCTAAAAGTTTGGATCTGGATGATCCCAGGTAAGGCCTGTGGGGCCCTCAGATGCTGATGGTTGGGAAGAAGTTTTCCAGAGCTCTCAGAAGTAAAACCTTCCGCATCTCAGAAAGTTACAGCTGTTTCCTTGCCTGGGATAGGTCTGGAAGATCTTTCTGAGGTAAAGACATACCTTACCACCTGTGGCAGAAACCTGTTGGTGGAGACTTCCAGATCCTGCTGGTCTCTGGGAAGATTCCATAAGAAACCTGCCTCAATGGATGACTCATAACCCAGGAGCTGGGTGTCTGCAGTGGAAAAGTACAGGAGGTGAGTGAGTGGGATGGAAGCTGTGTGGTTACACCTGGGCCTCCTATGAAAGTCCTAGAGAGGGACAACTGGCAGCAGCGAGACTCAGCCCCAGGACTGAGTCAAGATTACAAAGACTTCAAAGTCAAGATTTCACATGCTACCTGACCCTAAGAGAAATATTTCATTTTTAACTGTTGTATGTCACAGAATTCAAAGTGTCTAGGGTCTAGTCTGGAGTATCCTGCCAGGCACAGGAAATACACAGGCAGTCAAGGGTGTGGGTATTGAAATCAAATAGACCAGAGTTTGAGTTCCAGTTCACCATTTACTAGCTGGGTGACTTGGCAAGTTATTAATCTCTGACACTCTTTCCTTAAGGTAAGAAGCCCTGTCTCACAGGACTACTGCAAGTTTTAAGTGAGTAAATTTATTAAAGCATTTCAGAGGGTGTTTGGAACATAATAAATATTCAGCAAAGGGTAATGATGATTGGAAAGAGTCCTGGTTAGGCTGTATGATTTCAGAAATGACACCTCAGAGGCTGAAGATGGCCTGGTTATGCTGACTCAAAGAAAGCAAGTGAAAAGAGGTGGCAGAAATTTGGGGGAAAGAAAAATGTTTCTGGGATTTGGGGTTAATTGGGACAGCCATCAGGGCTTAAGAGACACAGAACTTGATACATAGAAGCAGGAGTACCAGAAAAGTGAGTTTCATAGGTTCACATTGAATGGTTTTTTTAAAAAACATGCATTCCAATTTTGTGATGCATATATCATAGTATGCATTATGGCATATTTTGCTATAAAGAAATTCATAGCAATGAAAAGATTTCAAACTTGACTAGTTTATACCAACAGCTATTTCATCATAAAATTCCAGGGGAATGTGACCCCCAGGATATTTTTTTAATCTGTTCATTTGTAACTGCTGTGACCACATTCTGAATGTTCTATTTTTTGTGGTTTTCTTATTTGGTTGTTTTGGTGGTGCTTGGAATCTAACCCACAGCCTTGAGCGCCAGGCAGGCGCTCTACCACTGAACTACACTCTGAGCCCCTTCTATTGGTTTTTGAAAATCCTGGGAGAGTTTCCTTTTTTTTCTTGTTTGTTACAGGTTCTTCATTTTTTAGATGTATTAGAATTGGCTTTGAAGATGGGCAGGCATCTTATATAACTTTTGGCTAATCCAAGGTAGGTGAGTCTGGCTTTAGCTGCATGGAGAAAGATAATGGTGATTTTGAATGTCACTGGAAAGGAGCTTTGGGGGGAAAGAAAGGACATGCATTATGCAGAAGCTGCTCAAGGGTTGGAGTACACAGGATAGCAACTCAGCAGGGGTGTGGAGGCTCCTGCTAGTTTCTTATTAGATTTGAACTCAGCCATGCTGTTATGAAACAGGGGCCCTTTAAAGAAACATTGGAAAGTACTTGGGTCACTAAGGGCAGAAATTCATGAAGTTCCGGTACCCTCAAGGAGCCCTCCCTCCCTTGACCATGGGAACCATAGGCTAAAGACAAAGGAGACCTCTGTCTTTCCCACCTTAGGAGCCCGAGGGAAGCAAGAACGCTTCAGCTTGGCTCCGGAAGATTCATGTTAAACACAGTGTGGAGCTGCTACCCTGTCAAGAACAGTGATTCAGAATGAGGTAAGAAAACTTGTGGAGGCAAGTCCCTTTCAACTCTTTAGAGTAGGGAAGTGGTCTGAGGTATCCATAGCAGGAATTATTTAATAGAAATTTTCAGTCTTGGAGATGCAGGGGACTTCCAGAACAATCTAGTCCAAATTTTTTGTTGCCATGGATCTCTTCTTTAAATAAAAGCTTCAGAGAGCCCAAAGTCAAACCTTTATGAAAGCAAGATTGCTCTTGTTGCAAAAGTGGGGGGAGGAGGGGAAAAGAAATTTAATTTATAAAATTAGAGAATTTCAAAAGAGTATCATGGAAGAAAATATTTTTATTTACGTTTATATCATAGGCTAAAGCAACATTGATCAGAAAAAAAACACAATGCCCCAAATACATTTAACTTAGAAGAGACTTTGGATCTGTAGGGGCATTTTCATTGGGAGACATGAGAACAGGGATATCATTTAATGACATGTATATCTTTTAGTGACAAGCAAAGGAGACTTGGATGAAAACTTTAAGGGTTACAAGACTGTGCTGGGCTAACTTAAAACAATGTGTCCTAAAGTACCACCAGGTGGCGTCCGCGTTCGGCATTTTGAGAACGTCTGGATTTCTTCCGGCGAGTCACAGGGCCTTGTGCCTTTTCAGGTTTAGAAAATCTGATTGGGCTTCACGCTCAAGAAAACACAGTTCTGTGGTTTAACCTCCTTCGCCCTCACTTTCATTCCACCTGTCGAAGTGCGCTTAACATCAGCATTATTAAGGAGTGTGAAGTTTTCAGAAAGGGGCAAGGGAAAAAAAACTTCTCCAAACATACTAAAGAAAAGGAAGAGTCTTTCAAGAAGTCTGGTGCAGGAGGAGGAAGGCTGGGCTTTTGAAACTTTAATTCAGGGTTCACCACTGGATGAGGAAGCACGGAGTCTCTGGTCTTAAGTTTCCTCACTGGTAAAAATGGCTCTTTGAGCTCTACTATCTGTGGCATGCTGATGCAGGGAAGTTAGGCAAACCCCAGCTTCAATTCTCGATCCCAGTTATAACTTTAAAACAGCGATATCATTTGGCATGGTTACTGAGATTAAATAATTTTCATAAATGCTAGTACTGTACGTAAATGGTCTTCATTATTATTGCCTTTTTTTGGGGGGGGGGGAGAACCAGGGATTGAGGGGCACTCGACCACTGAGCCACATCCCCAGCCATATTTTGTATTTTATTTAGAGACAGGGTCTCCCTGAGTGACTTAGGGCCTCGCTAAATTGCTGAAACTGGCTTTGAATTTAGATCCTACAGCCTCAGCTTCCCAAGCCGCTGGGATTACAGGCGTGCGCCACGACGCCCGGCTTTATTACTGCCTTTTTATGTCACCAACTCCCTCCGGACGGCCACTTCAGCAGTTGGGAAGTCTAAAACAATACACATATACATTTAGAATTCATATATATTCATGCAGGAGGTTTTAGCACTCCAGATTGCAAAGTGCTACTTAATTGTAGACTGTGAAGGCTGGCTGCACTTTGGAACAGATACACAGGGTTTCACAAATCTTCTTCCCGGGCCTTTCTTCCACCCCCTGCCGCGTGCCCCAACCTTGCGCGCAGCAGCCCAAGCTGGCAGCTCAGGACGCGTGCTTCTCGCCTTTAATCACCAGCGACAGCGCTAGGGACACGGAGAAGCGCCCCGCCCCCGTGCGTCAGAGCGTAGTTGCGCAGAGGCGTTTCCCGGGGCGTGCCTCGGTTGCTAGGCGACCATGCCGCTCCCCCTCCCGCCCTGGCGCTCCGTCTCCCTCCTCCCGGTCCTGGCTAGTCGCGAGCGAAGGCGCGCGGAGCTGCAGTGTCTGGCAGAGAATCCCCGGGGAAGCGTCGCGCCCGGGAGGCTGCCTTCACAGCGCAGGTGGACGCGGCCCGCCGAGTCCGCCAACCGCCGCCCCTCCCCCCGCGGGGGGTCCCGAGCTCAAGATGGGAGGCACTGCTCGCGGGCCGGGCCGGAAGGATGCGGGTCCGCCCGGGGCCGGGCTCCCTCCCCAGCAGCGAAGGTAACGGCGCCGCGGGGTAACGGGCTAGGGGTGCCAGAGTGAGCGCTTGGCGCTGGTAGGCGAGGCCGGGGGTCGGGGAGGATCTGAACTGGTGGTCTAGCGAGCCCCCAGCAGGAGGGACGAGGGAAGGGGTCTGATTCCCTCCCTGGACGGGCCCCCTCCCTTCTTTTCCATCAGCGTCCCCCCTCCCGTCCCCTGACCACCGTGAGTGGGGGAGGGGGCTGGAGCGGAGTTAGAGGAAGAATTACCACCCCTGGGTTGTCTCTGAAATCCTAGATCGGTGATATGGCAAGGGACTCCAGAAACCTGGGACTTTTCGTGGCTTTTCTTTTCTTTCTTTCTTTCTTTCTTTTTTTCTTTCTTTCTTTCTTTCTTTCTTTTTTTTTTTTTTAAAGCAAACCTGGGTAGTCTGGGAGCTATACCTTTGAAAAGAGCCCTGTTGCTCAGAGCAGATAACCCAGGGCTGAACTCTTGGGGTTTTGCTATGAGGGGTGCGGTCTAGCTTGGTATTTGAAGGTAACGGACTGTGCAGCGTAAGGCTCTCGCCGGATCCTATTTTAAGATTCTCCACCTTGCATTGTATTTTACGCCTAAGTGGAGAGAAGCCACCCATCCCCACCCCCACCCTCAAACGCCCTCCACCGCATTTGCATGGAGCCTTCTTGTGGTTAATTTGCTGTTAGTAGGAAATCTTCCAAGTGTTTAGCGTCTTTTTCTCAGTAATTGTGGATGCTTTTCCCTGTTTGTCTTATATTTGGTTTCTGTCCGTGAAGCATTTCTCTGTTAAAAATTAGAAATAATTCTATTAAGAATGAGCATTTTTTAAAAGAACATTTCAAAAACATTTGTACTTTTTTTTACCCTTTGTATGTTTTTAATACAGTAATCACATYTAGAACTAATTTTATAAAACAGTTTTTAAGGGTGACTAAAATATTTCAGGATTTTTAAAGGCATTAAAAAAATTTCCCCCTGCAACAGGGTCATTGTTGTATTATTCATGGTTATATCACATAAAATGATACAGTGAAATGCTGATGTATTTAATTGGAAAATCCATGTTCTTGGTGGCAGATGAAATACATTATTCCAGGGCCATCTTGTGGATTAAATAGATCCTCTCTGTCTTTTGTGTTCCCTTGCAGTAGGGAAGCCACAGTGCTAAAGAACAGAGAAATGATCCTAAATCATTGAGCATTTTGCCTCCCCCATCTACCAGGAAATGAAGTGGGAACAGAGACAAAATTCAGTACATCTTGTAATTTGAAGCACCCCTTTAACTGTCAGCTATAGTATTCACTGTATTTTTCTACTAGTTGGGTAGCTGTAAGCATGTAAGTAAACAAATAAAGAGAAGACAGCTCTAAAAAGCCTTTTTATTTCTTGCAATTAGATCCAAAAGTGTGTAAATGAACTGTTCTTTCCATCAACATGTGGTAAACATGCTCAGAGGAGAAGACAGCCCAGCCAGAGATAAGAGATTAGAATCCATGTCTCAGGCTGAAAAAACAATCACCTCTGTCACACTTTCTTTCTGGTTTTTAGGATTCCTATCCAAACTAGCCTTCATTTTCAAGTAGTAAGTTAATTTTTAGTTCCTGTTTTTTTTTTTTTTTTTTTAGCAATACTCACAACAGGTAATCTGAGTTTTGACCATTTTAAAATGTAAATCTAGAAATGCTATTTTTTATTTTAAAAAAAAAAGGAAAAGACAATTTGGGATCATTTGTCAAATGCCCCAGTTTTTTATATCCAATGCCAAAATGCAGTGTAGACACTTATTTCTATTAACTGTTCTTTGTAGCAGGTATGAAGCAGTTAAGACACACATACAATGTTTTAGAAATGTGATTTATATTCTTCTTTACTAACAGATCTTATCTATAATCCTTTTAACTAGATTGGGGGATGGTGTCTATGATACCTTCATGATGATAGATGAAACCAAGTGCCCACCCTGTTCTAATGTACTCTGCAATCCTTCTGAGCCGCCTCCACCCAGAAGACTGCATGTAAGTAAAGGGCGTAATTCTTTGTGTTCTAATTGTCTTGGAAAAGATAAAGTGCTAAATAATACTCAAGGTGTGGTTATGTATCACTGGCAACACAGACTCTTTTGTTGTTGTTGCTTTTGATTTCTTCTGGCTTTGGAAAAACAATTTCTGTGGTCCAGGTTTAGATTTTCAAATTCATTTTGATTTGGAGCCCACCTCTTTGAGTTCCTACTCAGATAAATATATGACACTGGGAAAACGATTTTATTTAGGTGACATTTATTTTAGTAGAGGATAATATAAAGTATCACAAAGGCTCCTTTTAACAAAAACCAAGCAAAAGAAATTGTCTCAGAATTTGTGGATCTGCAGAATTCTTCCTGCAAGATAGAAATGCAGTCCCAGCTTATTAGTATGCTAAAAAGAACCATTTTATAACTCATAAATTAAACTTGAACAATACAACTTGTTTTTTGATGAATTTAATCATTTTAGGAACTGCAGACATTAGCTTTTGATGCTGTTTTATGGAAGATAATGATAGAATTTATTCATTTTTCCTCAGCATACACAGACCAGTAGGCAGAGCAGGGTTTGAACAAGTTTCAAGACAAGGAGAAACTATCCTGTGACTTAAATTGCACATGCCACCTAATGAACATATTGAATACTTGAATTTAATTTGTAACATTTCTCCTTCATGTTTCTGTGTTTAAGACCTGAAAAAAAATGTTGTGTTATGTCCCCCGCCCCCATCAGAGATTGAACCAAGGGCTTCATACATGGTAAGCAGGCAGTGTACCACTGAGCTATATCCAGAGCAATTTTTGTTTTGAGACAGGGTCTCACAAAGTTGCCCAGGGTAGCCTTGAGCCTTTGATCCTCCTGCCTCAGCTTCCTGAGTTGCTGGGATTACAGGTGCGCCTCACTATACCTAGTCTGAAATTGTTACTATGTAGCAAAAATTACTTGCATTATTCTTATTCCATTCCAGGTTTTTGCTATTAAAATCAACACTTTCCACCCCTTTCAAGGCTAATAATATTACAAATCATGGGCAAAAATTATTTGGAAGGGTGGTCATCCCATTTCTGGAGTAAAGTAGGGTTTCTTTCCATTCTCTGCAGGGTTCATTTCCATTCTCTTCATTTTCTTTCTTTTTAAAAACTTCCAAAAACCAGAAGAACTATGTCTACTTGTGTTGACCATTAGATTTCGTGATGCCAGTACTAGATCACTGTTGGATGCTGATTACAGATGAGTTGGTGTGTAAACATATGATTTCAGTTTAACATCAATTCAGGGTTGATCCATGCTGATAACCTTCCAGTAGGTCACTTAAATTATATGTTTCAAAATCAAAATGAATTTTTTATTGCACGGTGTTCAGAGTAACAGTTTTGGGAAGCATAGATTTTTAGATTCTAATGCAATGGTATCTTTACAAATTTTACTAAAAAAAAAAAAAAAAGTTTGACCTCTTGGTGACACTTATAGTTCATTGTGCTATGACTTTATCCTGCCCTCCTATTGCTCTTTACACAAAGACTTTTAGCTTTGTCATTTATTCTAGATGCTCTTACATATTCATTATAAACTAAATCATTGACTTAAAGGTTGTTACTGGGTTAAATTCTGTGTTGCAGGGATATAGATAGGGTCAGGAGGTAGGTAAAGGATAGGTTTTTTATATCTGGATGAGAAGACTATTCCTCTGAATTATCAACAAGATTTTTAAGACTCAAATAATGCAGTAGAAGATTGTATCTGAAACATTGAAATTCACAGTGTATATGAGGCATTGTTAAGAAATAAAGTATGGCCAGGCTTAGTGGCACACATCTATAATCCCAGCGATTTAGGAGGCTGAGGCAGGAAAAATCACAAGTTTGAGGCAAGCCCAGATTATTTAGCAAGACCCTGTCTCAAAATAACATAAAACAGACACTGGAGGTGTGGGTGAGTGGTAAAGTAACTGTGGATTCAATTCCCAATGTGGGAGGATAGAAAAGGAGGGAGGCAAGAAAGAGAGAGTGAGTGAGTGAGAGAGAGAGAGAAAGAAAGAAAGAAAACATGGTAAATCTGGATCTCTGGAAATAATTACATGGTATCAAATATTTTCTTATTATGATTATAACCTTAGACCGGGATTTTTTATAATTATTACATGTTAACATGTGGACACTGTAGATTCTCTGAGAACAGTGGAAGGAAGGTTTTATTTATAGCACAGAAGACTTGATATATAATTAATTCAGGCCAGTATTTGAATTATTTACAGGAAAGGAGAGAAAGATAAGGAAAGAACCACTCCCCCTGTGTGGAAAAATTCCTTCCTGGAATTCTGCARGTTTGCTGGAAATGCAAACCTCTATACTCCGTAGTGGACTACACCCTGGGTAGTAAGTTCTGTTCTGGAAGCCACACCTTAAGAGAGACATAAAGTACAGCCCATAAAAATAATGTGAACAGAGTATTAAAGAAACCCAACACATGGCGGGCAAGGTGAGAATAGTTGAAGGAGATGATGAACTTGCAGAAGAATGGTGGGGTCAGGGATACAGCAGCCATTTTTAGGTATTCCAAGGGTTCTTACATGAAATTTGGATACTTCTGTATTTTTCCTGAGGGCAAAGTAAGGCTTATTTGCAGAAAGAGATTGATTCTCCCTTTAAGGTAAAACCATGAGTCAGGAAATCCCAATGACATCCTTCATCTTATGGTAATAGTTCTATGGTAGTTAAATTTCTATTAGATTTCTATTCTTATTAACATACTGTGCCTGAGACACCCTCTCTTATCACAAACAAATGAAGACCTCCAGAGCCAGCTCAAGGCAAGGGCAGTCTTATATGTAGGCAGAGTAGGTGAAATTTCCAGGGATGGACCCTGGACCACAAATACCTTTCCTACCAGCTTGTCATTGATGACTGCAGTTCTTAGGCATTCTTTGGGGTTAAGGCATTGTTTTCCATTAGAGTTCAACTATCACTGGAGAGGTAGCACATTAAATTGTATAGCAAGTTGAAAGCAGGCTTTGTGCCAGGGAGAAAGTGGGTGAGATGTTTCATGAGGAGGCCTGTTGRGTGGGCCCACATTGGGCAGAAGCTGTATTTAGATGCTTAGTGGAGGGAGACTGAGATTGAGGAAGCCACCACAGAGAAATCATTAGGGAATAGGGGAGAGTGTAGGAATTTAAATCYTATTATATTGAAAATTTTGCCTAATCATAACTAGTATTTTGAACATGCTTTCCAGTTTGTGAGGGTCTTTCACATGTATTATTGATTATAGTTTGATCCACACAACATCCTGCAATTAGGTATTATTATTCATGTTATATAGATTAAAAAAAAAAAAAAAAGATGAAGAACAGTTCAAGTAACCTGTCCAGAGACCTACAGCTCTTAAGTACTATAGCCAGTACCCAAACCTGGGCCTTCTAACTTCATTCTTTAGAATATGTTCCAAAAGCTATAGCAGTGAATATTTAGGTACATTAAAATTGGGTAGTGAAAATTTTAAGGAAAATAGGCAAAGATGGTGTGCAGATGTTCATTTTCTGTTATGTAAATCTAACTTGAACCAAATGATTATAATTCTTTCCTCATTCAGCCAAATTTATTCCCTAATACATAGTAGTTCTGTAAGGAAAAAAAAAATCTGTTTTTTAGCATAGGTGCTAAGTTGTAAACTCTGAGTGTTCCAGTGAATACTGGATGGGTGGCTGTGAACCTCTTCTGTTTTTTCATCCCTACAAACAGGAATAGTTGTTTGACATAATTACTGATAAAAAGGATGTTGCATTGCATTTGTCTTAGCAGGTTATTGGGACTCTGTCTACAGGCCTATTTGTTTTCTTTTCTATTTTAGTATCAGAAAAACCACAGCGTGCCCATGTCTGGCCTCTTTAAAGCTAAATGCCAAATTGTGGCCATAATCAAACTGGTTGCTTCAGTTTTGTTTTAAGATTTTATGATAGTTCATGTAACTCTTAAGTACTCTATAAATATTGAGATTGATTAAATTATTTTTAAAGGACCAGGAAGGGACTAAGTCCTGCTTTTATAACTAGATCAGGGGCTATTTGACGTATGCCAACACTGAAAATTTTTATCCTTTTTTGTTATTTGGGTTTTCATTTTTGTATCATTTCTTTTTTTAGTTTTGGTAATATATAACTTTTGGTTTACTTAGGTTAAGTTAAAATTCAAATTTTTTAAATGTTTGATTACTTTTTAACTTATATTTGTGGAGATTTTTAACAAGTTTAGAGCTTCTCTGGAATTTTTGTCTTTGATACTGGAGGTCCCCTGAAATAGTCAGATTAGGGTCCATTGGAAAAAACAGACGTTCTTTTAAGTATCGCACACTTTTTTTTTTTTAAACAATAGATTTTTTTCTTTATTCCTAGCTCATTAATATATCTGAACAATTTTGTTTTTTCCCTTAAATATTTATATTTAAGGTATACATCATGATTTTTGTTGTTGTTGTTGTTGTTTATTGGATGTTGGGGATTAAACCCATGGGTGCTTAGCCACTATGCCATATCCCCAACCCTTTCTCTTTTATTTTTTAGTTTGAGACAGAGTCCTATTAAGTTGTTTGGGCTTTGCTAAGTTCCTGAGGCTGACCTTGAACTTGAGATTTTCCTGCCTCAGCCTCTGGAGTCTCTGGGATTACAGGCATGAGCTTCCACACCCAACTAGGATAAGAAATGGTTATGCACTCAAGCCAGTTAGCATATTCATCAGCTCACAGTTACCCTTTTTATCTAACTATTAATTATTTTTAGGTGTTTGGCTATTTTTGCTTTTGCTTTTGTTTTCCTTAGTCATATTTCAAAGAATCTTGTTTCAATTCACAGAATCCTATTTTAATTCAGAGAAATAAGTAGAACTTTTTTCTCTGGGATATTGTTCCTTCCAAGAAAAGTGTAAGCAAATTGAGGTAAAAGAGTAGTACTGCTTTATCTCAAAGGCACTTGGAAAAAGCTCTTCAGGGGCCTCAGATTCTTGGTTATTTATCAGCTACATTGAAAGTTGGCCCAGATGGTTTCAAGAGTTAGAATTTTCATGACTTCATGTGCTGTTAGAAGGCTGCAGTAATGTATTTGAGGACCTGGGGGTTGATGAGGAGGCTAGGTCAGAACCATAAAGATACTTGAAATAATTAGTACATAATATTAAACAGTATATATATAATCAAGGGCGAATCATGTGGGTATAGGCTGCAGTTAAATCATGAAGTTAATTATTATGGGCTTGAAGTAGTTCTAAGTGAAAGAGTGCACTTAAATTGAGTCTGAAGGAGTAGAGGATGAGAGTGAATGTGGGGAGGGGTGAAAAGATTCTCAGGATAAGACAGACCTATGAGAAAGAACCTAGCATGCCAAGGGATGGGAAGACAATCATCCTGTCTTGAGCAAAGCAAGGCATATATAAGGATTAGGGTGGACTTAATCTTCAGGGAGTCAGGATTAATTAGGAGACCCTTGCTTTGCTCATTGTATCCTTTCTGTGTCATTTTAACCTTAAAACTAACACAATTGGACATATTTTGATGTTCTTAGGTCAGAGGGAAGATCCCTTCCTCTTACTAGTGTCTGTAACATTGTATTCATTTTCTCCTTTACAGATCACTACTGAGCATTTAACAAGAGAGCATCCTCAGCACTTTATGAATGGAGGTGAGATAAAAGTAGAACAGCTGTTTCAAGAATTTGGTAGCAGCAAATCTGGTACTCTTCAGTCAGATGGCATCACCGACTCTGAAAAATGCTCTCCCATTGTTTCTCAAGGGAAAAGTTCAGATAGCTTAAATATAATTAAATCCAGCAGTTCATCCAAAGCACCCAAAGTGGTACCTCTGACCCCTGAGCAAGCGCTGAAGCAGTACAAACATCACCTCACTGCTTATGAGAAGCTGGAAATCATCAATTACCCAGAAATTTATTTTGTTGGTCCAAATGCCAAGAAAAGACATGGAGTTGTTGGTGGTCCCAATAATGGGGGATATGATGATGCTGATGGGGCCTATATTCATGTCCCTCGAGACCATCTAGCTTATCGGTATGAGGTGCTGAAAATTATTGGCAAGGGGAGTTTTGGGCAAGTAGCTCGGGTCTATGATCACAAACTTCGACAGTATGTGGCCCTGAAAATGGTGCGCAATGAAAAGCGCTTTCATCGTCAAGCAGCTGAGGAGATCCGGATTTTAGAGCATCTTAAAAAACAGGATAAAACTGGTAGCATGAATGTTATCCACATGTTGGAAAGTTTCACGTTCCGGAACCATGTTTGCATGGCCTTTGAATTGCTGAGCATAGACCTTTATGAGCTAATTAAAAAAAATAAATTTCAAGGCTTTAGTGTCCAGTTGGTACGCAAATTTGCCCAATCTATCTTGCAATCCTTGGATGCTCTTCACAAAAATAAGATCATTCACTGCGACCTGAAACCAGAAAACATTCTTCTGAAACACCACGGGCGCAGTGCAACTAAAGTCATTGACTTTGGGTCCAGTTGTTTTGAGTACCAGAAACTTTACACATATATCCAGTCTCGTTTCTACAGAGCTCCAGAGATCATCTTAGGGTGCCGCTATAGCAYGCCTATTGATATATGGAGTTTTGGCTGCATCCTTGCAGAACTTTTAACAGGACAACCTCTGTTCCCTGGAGAGGATGAAGGAGATCAGTTGGCTTGCATGATGGAGCTTCTAGGAATGCCACCACCAAAACTTTTAGAGCAATCCAAACGTGCCAAGTACTTTATTAACTCTAAGGGCCTACCTCGCTACTGCTCTGTGACTACTCAGGCAGATGGGAGGGTTATACTTGTGGGGGGTCGCTCACGTAGGGGTAAAAAGCGGGGTCCCCCAGGTAGCAGAGACTGGGGGACAGCACTGAAAGGGTGTGATGACTACTTGTTTATAGAATTCCTGAAAAGATGTCTTCATTGGGACCCCTCTGCCCGCCTGACCCCAGCTCAAGCATTAAGACACCCTTGGATTAGCAAGTCTGTGCCCAGACCTCTCACCATTGAAAAGGTGTCAGGGAAACGAGTAGTTAATCCTACAAATGCTTTCCAGGGACTAGGTTCCAAGCTGCCTCCAGTTGTTGGAATTGCCAGTAAGCTTAAAGCTAACTTAATGTCAGAAACCAGTGGTGGTATACCTCTGTGCAGCGTGTTGCCAAAACTGATTAGCTAACGGACAGTTCAGAGATGCATATGTATGTATTTTAATATTTTGCAAACCTGCAAATGGAAAACAGTGCAAGCCCATTGGTGGATATGTTTTTGTTAGACTAGACTTCTTTTTTTTTAACAAGACAAAACATTTTTATATGACTATAAAAGAACTCTTCAAGGGCTAATTACCTAACCAGCTTGTATTGGCCATCTGGAATATACATTAAATGACTTTTTATAGGTCAATGCATCTTTCTTATTATCATCAGATGTACTTCAACCTTGTATATTCTATTGGGTTTGAATCTCTTTCTTCCAAGATGGATGGGATACCAAAAATATATGCTCACTACTCCTCTCCTATTTCCCTCAGCATCTATTTTGGAGGGGTAATATGGGAAGTTGTGGTAGTTGTAGATGAGATGCAAAGCTAGATCTCTTGCTCCAGCAGGCCATTCTGTGGGCTTATTCTAAGTGAAGGGGCTCACAGCAGAATGTGAGGTGAGGGAGCACCTCAAAGCTATTGGTCACCTGTACAATTGATGTCATTGTTTTTCACTTCCCATTATGCACAGTATTTTTTATTTATGTTATTATTGCTATTATTTTGCCTCAGCTTTGTTCCTGGACACTTACAGACGTTTCATCACCTTACCAAAAAACCTTGTAGGTTACTGCTGGGGTTTGAATAAGTCTTCCCCAAAGGCCTGTGTATTGAAGGCTTGGTCCCGGCCCTCAGTTCTCTTGGGAGGTATAGAACCTTTAAGAAGTGGGTCCTAGTGGAAGGTTTTCAAGTCCATTGGGCACTTGACCTTGAAGGGAATTGTGGGACCCTCGTTTCTTTCTCTTCCTCTTTGATTCTCAGGCACTAGGTGAACGGCTTTGCTCTGCCACCACAATGTTATTCCCACCACAATGGCCACTGCAGACCCAAAGCAATGAGGCCAATTGGTCATGGAGTGGAACCTTCAAACTGTGAGCCAAAATAAACCTTTTCTCTTTATAAAAAATTGATTTATCTCAGGTATTTGTTATAGTAATAGAAAGCTGACTTACACAGGGCCCCATTTTAACGCCAAGTCATATACATTATTTCTCCCCCATCTCCAAGGAAGATAAAGCAACTTCTTTGCCCCCAGCTACCTCCAAATGTTAAAGGTAGAATCAGCATGAAAACTGCAATTTCCTAACTCCTTGATCGTCTGTGGTCTAGCTGCTTGCTGGATTTTTGTGGATTCCTGTCCTTGTGAAACAGACCTCTGTTAGGTAAACTCGCTACAGTTTAAATGTTTTCCTTCTCTCTTTCCAGCCACGTACCACCTTAATATGCCACATTTTTCCACTTTCATTTTGAGCTGGGCACCTTCCTAGATTCTGAGCAGACTTCAGTTATATGATGAAAATTGTTTAAAAAATCCAGAAACTTGTGATAAGGCAGTTTCCCCTTTGTTTCTCCTAATTGCATATTCTTCAACAGGCTTTCTTTTTCTCTGCTAAGATTGAAAGTTAAACAGTGAAGGCTGGTAATACAACTAATTGCTGGCCAAATGGCTTACTGGACCTGGAGAGCTTGTTGGGAGGTTCTAGCAGAGGAGCACAGCTACTCATATACCCTTGACTGAATAAAGGTCTTCTCTATCAAGGAACTTTGTCCTCTTTGAGCACACAGCTTTGGGAGAGATGCTGATAACCTTTCCCCAAAAAGAAAGATATAAGAGATTGAACAGGTCAACTTAAAGAAGACATGAGCACAGTAGATTTCTGGAGTGGTGAGGGAGGACGAGGACATCTGCCTAGCCAGCCAGATCAGCTGAATCAACCCCGGTGATCGATGGGGTGACAGATTTCGCAGCCAGATCACCCTAAAATCCCCGAATGGCTTCCTGGAAAGGTGGAGAACTAAATAACTCACTCAATGCTACTGATTATTTTTATTTTTCCTGTTCATTCCTCTACTTCTGTGCTCCTCAAGAATGAAAGTATCTCCAAGTTCTGTCCTCAGTGTGTGTTCTTAGAGCATAACAGTTCTCAGAATGACCTCATTCAGTTTTTATTCTAGAATCTAGTATCTGAAAACTCCATAAGATTGGAAGGAGGCTTCTTTATTGGATGACACAGTAACCAGAAGGGAAGAAAAATAGCTATGGGCACATTATTTAAGGAACTTTGACCTTAGCCACATTATTCCTGGCTGCTTCAATGCAGATGTGGACAGTGAGAACAGAGACCTCAGCCTCTTCCAAAGGAGGAAGTCTTGATACTTTTGGTGACGGAAGAGCTGGATTATTTAAAAACCTTAATGATCATGTTTACTCCTGGTTTACAGAAGGCAAAGGAATAGACAACTCCTTTAGAGCCTTCTAACTTCTGCTGAATTCTCTAACTTGCTGGAGAAGTTGGAGAGTCTCCCGCATTATCTAGGCAGAGCATATGTTGAGGTTGTTTTGCTTGGTGTTATCAGAGTGGGAGACCTGCTCTCACAAACGGCTAAAAGGATTGCTGCCCCAAATGACGCACAGTAGATTTCTGTGTTGGAGTTTCTGTGAGCAATCTCCATGGTTAGCCAGTGCTGCACCTGAACTTGGGAGAGAAAGGAGCCTTTATCTGAGACTGGCATGTGCTCTATTCTGTGTAGTGAATGGACTGTGAGGTCACTGAAACTGAGCGGAGGTGAAAGGATATAGACAGCCTATGACACTGTAGAGAAATTCTAAAAGATCTGGAAAGGTGAATGTATGTGCTTTGGCCTAAATTTGGCAACCAGGAGAGTGATGCAGAGCAGAGTCATTCAAGTTGGCATGCCTGCCTTCTGCGGGTGGGTTCAAGTTTGGGGAGAGTGGGCTGTTTTAAAATTTGGTGCTGGCTGTGCAGATAGATTTGAGGAGATTTACGGGTGTGTTAAGTTCAGAACAAGTTGTGGTTTTAGAGGCTGTCACCCTGTGCCCTCTTTTAAATGTTCACTTGAATCTCTGCTCAGCCCTAGCAGTGACTGACTGAATTGGACCAAAGTTCATGCCGACATTCATGCTGTGGCTTACAGTGAGTGACTAGATTGTTCTTTAGTTGCTATTGTTCTAGCCGTGTCAGTTAAACAGATCAAGTGGGTTGACTTACTGATTTCCAAAATGGCAAAATCAACTGAATTTACAAATTGTTGTTTACATAGTAGAAAAGTTAGATCAGAATTTTTGTTTTATTTCATTTTTAAAATAATTTTTTTTCTTTCAACCTGGGAACTTGGCTAATCCAGTTAATACCTGCTCATATTATTACACTGTATTCCATCTTCTACCCCCAGTGATTCATCTGTTCATTCATGTGCTTTCATGATTTCTTCTTTTGAATGGACAGGCCTATGTTCTTATGATATTCTGAATTAACATATTTTTTCCTTTTTTTTTTTTTATGGTACTGGGGATTGATCCCACAGCTTGGCACATGCTAGGGACGCGCTCTGCTGCTCTTACCAAGCAGCAGAAGGGTGCAGAGTTTGATAATGTGCAGATCATGAAAGCTCATTTCCTTCATGTGCAAGGAGCATGCTCACGTCTTCTTTAAGTTGACCTGTACAATCTCTTATATCTTTCTTTTTGGGGAAAGTTTATGAGCTAAGGGTAACATGAGGCCACTTTCTTCTGTTCCAACAGCAGACACAATTACCTTGGAAACAATGAAAAGAAAAATGCAGCCATAACCTGTGATGAAGGATTCTGCTTCTGTCCCACAGTGGGTTCTGTGAAAGAAGAGAGTTTAGGCAAGACCTTCTTTCCAAGAAGAAATTGACTTAAACCATATTTGCATACTTTCTTCTTAGGTGTCAAAGGATGTTTGGGGTAAATAGGGTAACTGGCTAATGCAGCATGTTAGTTTTATAATATTTAATCTGTTAAGAAAGGGCTTTATTGCATGGTCAGAAACCAGAAAATTAAATACAAATTTCAACCATGAAACAGTTTCATTCTGTAGCAGCTGGTTATGTTAAAATACCTTTGATTTTTGTCTAATTCCCAACTAGACATAATTAAATGCTAAATTTTAGGTAGCAGCTGATAAATGGTTGTAAGCTTTCCAGACAGAGCACTCCTATTGTTTTAATGAATCATGGAAAACTTTGTCATTTATTTTTAATTCTTTCTTTTGCATCTATTATTTGATGTCATCAGCATGAGCACGGAAGTTGGAAAGGTGACAATGATTGTTCTAGACAGCCTCCATATGCTTTTTCCATCTGTGAATTAAGGATAAGTACTTATCCTTGAACTAGGCAGGATTGCCAGCAAATGTCTTCCTCTGCCTCTTCAGAATCACCAGACATGATGAGTCTATATACACTGCCTATACATAGAGCAACTGCAGACAGCTGTGATATGGAAAACTGGAGCCCACATAAATAAGAAGTAAGAAAAGGCCAGGGCTTGGCTAGTCAAGGAAGAGATCAACCTCCTAATTTTAAATAATGTTTTCATTATCCTCATTTCATCACGTCCCTCTTTCAATTTCAATCTATACTTCCTGAAGCCCAAGAATTTAAAAGAACTTCTGGGCTTGATGAAGGGTAACCCTTTCCAAGTGTCTGTTGAATTAGGCCTGCTGATTTTAATGAGAAAATTTTTTGAGTATCACAGTGAACCCATCCATGTAAGGACTAAAAGCTCGCTGGTTCCTGAGATCCATAACTCCTGAGATAAACCAGAGCCACAAATATATTGTCTAGACTTTGACAGAGCTGGATATACTTCTTAATATAGCTCACCCACTGCTAAGTTGAGCCAAAGCTCTGATATTTTTCTATAACAGGAGAAGCCTGCCTGACGAGAGACTAGAAAGATTCTTACCTCCTTGCCACCACACAAATAGACTAAAGAGAAAGCAGAGCCCCAGATAAGGCCAAATGGTGACCTGTGGCTATTTCAGCTCAGAATGTCAGCCTCCAAACCATTAGGTTTAAGTCATTTTGATGTCATGGGATTCTATCATTGTTCATTTGAGCCTGCTGACACGCTTCCTCTGGAAAGTGCGGCTTAGCATGGATGAGTCAGTGTTTTGTTTTGTTTCTTCTTATTATTTCAGGATGTTTGTTTTAAAAAAATATATAAAGGAATTGTTGTGAGAATTTTTTTAGCATCTTGTGATTTCTTCACAGCCAAGGCATAGAGCCATTTCAGCAGGAGCTGAGTGCCACACGCTGAAGCCACCCTGTCCCTGAAGCAGGGTGAGAACCAGTCACTCTGGATTATTTGGGCTGTGCTG